ATCCCTGTGGGTTTTGCTGGCAGAAGAGAGAATTATTGACTCTGTGGCACCAGCAAAGTATCCCGGATCTATATTTTGTTTAAAGCAGTAACAGTTATTCTTCAGTGCTGTCTGGCTGTGTTAGAAGGATTGCTTGACCTTTGGTGAATTATTTTCTGCTGAAGGGGGGAGCAGCTGAAGCCACGGATTGAGCTGGAGGTGCCATCGGCTGCTGAGCAGCAGGGCAGCTGCCAGGGAGCAGCTACCAGTGAGGTTCTCTTCGAACGGTCGTTTTAATGTTTGTGCAGCGCTTCCAAGGGGTCGCCATTAACACTGACTGGTTCTGGAGCTGCCTGTGTATGGAGAGGAGCCCCCTCGGCACGCACCCCTCTGGCAGCGGTCTCTGTCTTGCTCCTTCCCCAGCTTTGAGGCCCTCCAGCAGGAAAGGCAACGCAGGCTTCTGCTGGCTGATTTTGGTTGATGAGCTTTTTTGTTCCTGGTTTTGGCTGGGTCAGTTTGATCTTGCAATTGTGTTGCAAGGTCTGGCTGCTTAACCTTGAAATCCCCTCCCTGATCTGCAGGTCCCTGCTCCGTGTGGCCTCCTGCGGCTGCCTTCAGAGCTTTGGCTGGTGCAGGACGCAGCCGATGTCCAGCTACAACTCCAGCCGCCACCCAAACCAGGGATTAGGCAGAAGGGCTGAGGCCGTGTTGTTTCCTTGCTTTTGGTATTTTTAAAGAAATCTCTTAAACCCTGCATGGATTTCATAAAGAGGGACTTACAGGTGAGTTTAACAGAATAGGAAATGCTATATTTTTATAACAGCCTAGTGTTTAAAGTACTGTCATTATTCTGCTAAACCAGATTTAAACAATGCGATTCCATAGCAAAGGTCCTAGAGCATCAGTTTTGCTGAAGATGTTGTGCTTTGCTAGATGTATTTACTTCTGAATTGCAAACAAAAGGCAATTTAAATGAATTGCGAGCCTGTGATAGCAAAACATTATTGAATTTACTTCGGGCAATAACAGTGAGAGAAAACCAACACATCCAAATGGAGTCAGCACTGAGCAGGTGCTCTGAGGCTGGTGCAGTTTATGCTCAATTCTTTTGTTCCTCCTGGAACAATGTTTCACGGATTTTGAAGTCTCTTCACTACTGTTGGGGCCACAGCTAGAAAAGGGTTTCCTTTCATCCAGCTAGCAGCACCGTGTCAGCAGGCAGAGGAGATGACGCCTGGAACCCAAAATGTGTCAGGACTAAATTCAGTGTGGGGTGTAGCATTTGCCATAAATACAGGAAATTTGTTGGAATTCAAGCAAGGTTTTAAATACACACGCACATTAGGAAAGAACCCCTTTTCCTGTGGCTTAAATCCGTTCCTGTAGTATAAATCTGTTGGTGATCTGGGACCTTCAGCTGAGATTTTTCTTGTCTAGCAGCCTTGAAAAATTTTGGCCCCACAGCTGTGCAGGTTTATTTCCCAGTGCATTTGGGAAAGATGAAGACAGGCTGAGGGCGTTGGGGATGTTCAGCCTGGAGAAGGCTCCAGGGAGACCTTACAGCAGCCTTCCAGTACCTAAAGGGGGCTGCAGGACATCTGGGGAGACGGACTGTTCATCAGGGATTGTAGCGATAGGACAAAGGTAACAGCTTTAAACTAAAAGAGGGGAGATTTACGTGAGATATACGGGGAAAATCATTCACTCAGAGGGTGGTGAGGCACTGAGCAGACTGCCCAGAGACGCTGTGGATGCCCCATCCCTGGAGATGCTTGAGGCCAGGCTGGACGGGGCCCTGGGCAGCCTGGGCTGGTGGGAGGTGTCCGTGCCCGTGGCAGGGGGCTGGAATTAATGATCTTTAAGGCCCCTTCCAACCCAAACCCTTCTGTGACTCTGTGATGTGCCCACTGCTATGGCTGGCACCGCGGTGTTCGGTCGCTCCTTCAGCCTGCGCGGCCGGGCGCTGCTGGGGCAGGGAGCCCGGCGCCTGCCCCTGGGGCCGGACCCACGCTGCCAGCAGTGGGGCGCGAGGAGCCCCGTCCTGGGCTGCGCTGCTGCAGCCCCGCATCTGCAGGCGGGACCCGTGTCCCGCAGCGCGGCGCCGAAAGCGGTGACGTTGGAGTGACGCAAATGTGAACAGCCCGATTGGGACTCAGTCCCGGAGAAGATGGATTCCACCCACCAGCCCCCACGCTGTTCGCACCGGCTTTTGCAGGATCCTACAGCCAAATTCCTTTTTGATCTGAAAATCTGTTCTGTTACCTTGATGCATTTTTAAAGCTGAACTAATGCATTAAATCTCAAGAATTGCCCTGTCTCCTGCACTGAGGCAAAAGCGGTATTTGTTTCATAATAGAACGGCAACTCCAAGCAACTACTCATGTTTTTAAAGTACTTTGTTAGAGCGCGGCTGTATGTGGCTGTGTAGCTGCTGTAGAATTACATAGCCCAGAGCTGGTGCTGTAAAATATACATTACTGCGTAATCAGGGTGGCAGGGAACAAAGAGCCCTTTGAAGCCGTGCTGGAGCCTCCATTAAGGCTGAGGCAGGGGTGTCCTCAGAGCTTTCTGCAGTGAAACCTGCGGCTGGCCAGCTGCACACCCCTCCGGACCTGAGCTCCCTGCAGCCAGCGGGTGGGAGCGGGGCCCGGCCTGGGATGGGCGTCGGGGTAACCCTTGGGCTGGGTCTGGGCCTGGCCTGTGAATTCCTTCTGCTTGATCTCGGTGTGCAGGGTGAGGCGGTGAGCTGGCTCCTGCTCACACGGAGCCGTCCTTCTCTGCCAGGGGCTCCTGTCCGCAGCCTGCCCCTGCTGGCCCGCTGCCGCCTCGGGGCTGAGCGCTGGGGAGGAGCGCAGTGACCCCGCACCAAGTCCCTGCGGCTGCTTCGGCTGGGGGCGGCCTGCTGAAAAAAGTCCCCGGCAAGGGAGCCTGAGTCATGATGCTCTCTATCCATCCACCACTTCTCCCTCACCACCCACTGTGCAAAATGCCTTGCTTTTAAAAATAAAATGTATGAGTATTTTATAGCCATCTCTCTCAGCTGCTTCGCGTCGCATGATGTTAAGCGTGGATATGATGCCCAATAACCCGCTCGTCATGCTAGACAGTCATATTGAAGCAGTTACCGATCCAGCCGTGGCTTGAAAGTATGAACCTAATTTGTCATCTTGGGCTTGGACAAGTGAGCTGAAAGCCATGCAGATTTACTCACTTTTCTGAGAGAGAACAGCAGCGACCCAGTCCTGCGGCAAAGGGGGCAGTAACAGCGCAACAGCGAGAGATGGGACAGAGCGGGGCAGGAGTTCCCCTCCCTGCACTGTCAGTGCCTCCTGCAGCTTGCCTTTATCCAAGCCAGAGCAGAATGAGCTGACTTGCTGCTCTCTTAGCCAGAGGTTTCAAAGCAGTCAAAAAAATTTTTTTTTTTTTTTTTTTTAAAGTCAAGCATTGCTTAGTGCTTAATGTGATTGTTGTATTTGCTTGTAGGGAGGCAAAGAAGGTCACCAGCACAGACCGGTGGCTGCCGCTCGGCCCGGCCGTGGTGCCAGCTGCAGCCGCGGCCCCGGGGCACCCGGAGCCCTGCGGGTGAGGTGGGGGCGAGCGCAGCTCCGGCTCCTGCCCCTGCGGAACTGAGACGAGATCGGAAATAACCATTCCTGCTTTTTCATGCAAAAACTTTAATGGTAGCACAACAGCTTCTACAGGATGGAATAATGCACGTCTGGCTCTGAAAATGTCATCAAGACCCGTATTTTCCACCCCTTGACCTCCACCAGGCTAGCGAGCGAGTTTTATAGGGCGCTCATGCCGCAACTCGGCTCTGCCGCTTACACTTCCAGGTACAAGGTGCAGTAATCCACTTGTCTCCAGTTAACTTCTTAATTAATCTACAGGTTACAGACCTAAACTGCAGTTTTATAAACTTAGATAAGTAAACTTTTGAGAACTTAAAATATTTTTAAACCATTGTTTTTCAGTTACAGAAATACAAAATAAATATTTTGAAGATTATTACAAACCAGAAAATTAATATCTTTGTTTATTGACTTTTTTCTTCTCCTTAATAGTACGATAAATTGAAAAAGCCTTTTTAAAAAATGAACTTCACATCATGGAAAAAATATTAAGCATCACTGAATTTGTACAAGTGTCTCCAAACAATAAAGTAAATATATGTATTCTATTTTTTTTTCCTACCCATCACCAAATAAGAAACGATTATATATCTTACTGTTTCTAAACATGTGCATGTAAAAATAGTCATTTCTCTTTTCTTATTTATAGTAACATGGCAGTAACATTTCACTGTAATGTTTCCTGGGCTCAATGCAGAAAGTAGGCAACAAAATTCACTGGTCTGTTATGCAGGGGACCCCGGTAAATCACTATCCATTGATCCTTACTGTCTCCAAAATGTATTCAGGTTGGAAGTTTGGTATTAACAGATCTTTTGTCTGCTTTTATTAAGTGTATAGTCTTCATCAGTGCGACCGCTGTTCGGTGCCCTGTGTGCCAGACCAAGCGGAGGCCTCTGGTTTCTCCGCAGCTTTCTGTTTGGAGCAGGCGCAGTCGGAGCGATCGCCCGTGAAGCTTCTGCCGACGCGTCCTGTAAGTCCTGGTCGCTTCACCGGGGGTGCTGGGTTCTGAGCGCTGTTTTGCCGAGTGTTTGGAAATGTTACCTTTTAAACGGGACATACTGAGACTTGGGGACGGGACGGGACACATGACTTAAAGTCTATACAGCTATTATTACATTGAATATATGTAGTGGCACAAATGAACCTCAAATATTTGGCAACAAATAAACCTTCCAAAATACTGATAAATGTGCATAGGAACTTGCTCATTCCTGGGCTGCTCTGCTGTTTCCAACCTAAATGTTTTGAGGTCAGATTTGTCCCTTTCACTTTCCTGGAGCTGGGGTGAGGGGGCTTTGCCCCGGGCTGTTTGGGGGAAGGAGCTGCCCCTGAGAGGGGGCTTGCCGGGACGGACTGCTTGTGCTCCTGGGCTTTTCTCTCCAGCTATTTTTTTTTTCTTTTTTTTTTTTTTTTTTTTTTTTCTGAATCTAGCTGAGGTGCTTGGTGCTTTAACTGTTGTGGTTTTGGGTTGGTGGCTTATGAAAAACTAAACAAGATCAAGTCAGGAAATGAAACACGTGGAAATAAGTGTTCATTAGAGCACCTGGTGACTGAGAATATATCACGGCTTGGATGTCTCAATGAGCTACAGCCTTAATGTTTGTTTGTTTGTTTTCTAATGTTTTAGGAAATGACCCATTACTAAAGGGAGCGCAGGGTGGTTGGGAGAGTGAAAGAAGTAAATACTGGTGTTGCACAACGTGGTTTTTCACTAACTTAGTGGTATTGCGATACCTTTTTAAAAGTCTCATGTTCTTGCAATCGTGATCATCTAAGAAAGAAAAAACAAACCCTTGACTTGCATTTATAAAAGAGGAAGAAACTCTTGAGAATGACTGTCAAAGGCTCAGCAACTGGAAGACATAGAAATCACAGCCCAGCAGGGTTTCGTAATTATTGAGCTACCGGTGGCACTTGGGTTTGTCAGACCAACGTGGTTCCAGCCTGCAAAGCCTCGAGCCTGCCCTTGCCCTCTTGAAGTCAACGCTGTTTCCAGTAGCACCTTTCTGTAATTTTTCAGCACGTGACAAGATGTGATCATAAAGGCATGGCATTGCTTTGGATGCAGCATCCTCTTACGTGACTCGTGTCCTCTGACCAAGGAATAACGAGATCCCCTTCACCACAGAGCAGGCTGCTGGTCCCCAGGGACGTTTCATAGACCCCAGTCTGGCTACAGTTCTCAGGCTCCTAGGAGAGCAGCCTGCCAGCTTCCCCCTGAGATGGCCGTGCAGAATTCCCTCCTGAGGAGCGCTATCGCCGTTATTTTCCCCAGGGCAGTGGTGGGAGGGAGCCCTTTGGGTGCAGCTCTGGGAGGCTGGGGGGCTCCCCTCACCCCTGTGCCTGAGACGAGTTGTCCACTGCGTGAAGTGTGGGGACGGAGTTAGTTAATGCTGTTTTGTTACCTCTGCTGCCTTTGTTCGTAATTCATCAGGAAACATGACTGCAGTTCAAGCTCAGGGGGGTAGGTTACTTACTGAAGTGCTCCAAGGTTTCTGCCAGGCTAGGCAGGCAATTAAAGCAGAGCTGATGAATGGTCTGATTCAGCTCCAATTCATTAACTAATCATAAGAAATGAGCAGATAGAAAATAAGCCCAACTCAGGGACTTGAGAGAGGTTCGTTAAGGGTCCCTCTGTCCCCGTGTGCTACCCTGTGTGCTTTTCCAGAGCTCTTTCCCTGCGCTCCCTGACAATGCGATGCTGCAGACGGTCGGAGCCCCAGCAACCGAGTGCCTTTGCATTCAGCCGGGGAGGCAGAGAACAATGTGTTTTCATTACAGAAATGCATTGTGCTGCAGTACAGTTGCAGTTGTATTTTTCCTTTCCCGATGTTGTTTCCTTTGAGCTGGGTCATGGTGAGGCAGGGCTGAGCCTGGGCAGTTCAGTGAGCGGGGCCGGGGCCGCTGCAGGGAGCAGCACGGGGGGGGTCCGGCCCTTCCCGGCCTGCTGGAGGAGATGCAGCAGCAGGGGCACGGTGCTGGTGTCCAACCTCTCTTCACCGGGGAAACTGGGCTGAAGAGAGTCTGGAAGAGGGCAAGAGAGGAGGGAAGATAAATATATACATGTGAAAATGAACACACACCCTTAAAGAGCTCGCCCGCCTCCATGCAGAGCTACCACCCTCCTGCCAACATGTGATGCTCCCTTTACATTGCTAACGATAAAAAAAAAATTAAAAAAAAAAATTGAGAGCAGCCAGAGGACAGACAGGGGTTTGGAGCAGATCTTCATGAGAGATGGAGTGCACTTCTGGTCCCCAGCCCAGAGCTGAACCAAGAAAATGCTGTTTGTCTGTGCTCCAGGCTCTCCCTGTGTGGCTGTTCTGCTCACAGAACAGAGGTGATTAGAGTAATTGTTCCAGAAGAGACATTTCTGGTCTGCTGCACTCAGAGAATTGCTCCTGGCAGACCCCGTGGATGTTTCCCCTGCTGTGATCAGCCTTCCCGTGTGGATGAGGACTGCCTGTGGGGCACTGCCTTGCCCAGCGCTTGTGATGCAGCTGCAGGTTAGCTCCCATTGGGGGTTCCCCTTTAGGCTGGGTTTTTGGGAGGAAGCTCTTGAGCCCTCCCTCCTTTTGGCTGCAGTGTTCCTCGGTGAAATACTCCAGTCCAGATGCTGCACCCCACCATTTTGCACAGTGCTGCAGGATTAAACCAGTGGGAGGTACGTGTGTGGCTGGGAGTGCTGGGTGCTGCCAGTAAGATGCTTATTGGAGCTGTTGCTTTAAAATGTGTCCTGTTTTCAGCTCTTTCTTCCTGCACATTGTGGATACATTTAGGGAACTTATCACCATAGCATCAAAGCACTGAAATACCCTGTGCAACAAACTCTGAAATCTGTCCCAAAATAGATTCCTGCTTTTTTTACCAAGGCACCAATTTCATTGTCAGTGCTTCCTTTCCCTCTTGGTGCCTGTGACTGTGTGCGTGTGTGCACACATGGGCACAAGTGCCAGAGCTTTTTCTCTCCCCATCAGCCCAACGCTGTCACGTGTTGCCATAACGCAGTGGGTCAGCTCTGGGGGAGATCTGTGTGCTTTTGGTGTTTTTGTGTTAAGTCTCCAGTGCCGTGTAATGGGCTGAGCAGTTTTACAAGCTTCCCTGTGTGCATGGGTCTGTGAAACCTCACTGCTGTTTATCTTGGTGGAAGAGGGTGGCTTTGCTCCATGAAAGGCAATGTTCTGAGCTGACAACGTTATGAGCAGCATCCAGCTGTTGTGAGCGCGGATGTTCAGACTTTATGGCTTATTAAGTCTTAAGGCATGCTGAGCACCTTTGGATTTTCCTGATGCTCACGGTGTCTACTGAGGCTTGGCTTAGTGCACCTGACAAATCGGGTGATGCTGTGCTTCCTCCCCCCTGGGCTTTGGTGGCAGGACTGAGGCATGAGGAAGGGGCCCACAGGCAGCTCTGCAGGTGTCCTTCTCTTTTCTCTTTTTGCAGCCCCAAACAACTTCAGATTCTTCCTTGTTGCCCGCCTCTTGTGGGAGCCCTCCCCACGTGCAGATTAAATTTACAAGGTGCCTTCAGCGTACATCTCTGCCTGAGGCCCCAGGGAGCTCCCATTCGCTGTTTTCTCCTTGTCGCTCGCGTTCAAACACCTCTCTGCATGCAGGTTGTGCTGAGCCCCCGGGCAGTCTGCAGTCACTGATGCGCTCCCTGCTCTCTAGGAAGGCTTCTTTTGAGGTCCTGATGGAACGGGCTCTGGGGTCTCGCAGGGCAGAGCTAATTGCTGGCAACAGGCGAGGATCTCAGATCAGAGCTGCTGCAGGCTCCCCAGGCACTGCCTCGCTGCTGGCTCTCGAGGGACCCTGTGCTCCGCTGGTCCTGGCGGGCTCGAGGCTGCCTCTTGCTGCCGGGTGTAGAAGCCCACCCAGGAGGGGCAGCAGGCACCAGCAGGTGCCCCCGCTCTGTGAGCAGCACCGACAGGGCCCTCGTGTTAGGCTGGGCTCTGCTGTGCTAGCGGGAGGTGAGGATGCTCCTTTCTGGGGGCAGTAAAATGCAGCCATTCCCCTTGCTTCCCTACGTGTGCTGTCCCTTCTCAGCACCGAGCTGAGCTTCACATTTCCTTCCCATTTCTCCTCTTTGGCAGTATTTCTACCTGCATAATTAACTCTCACGTGTAGCTCCAGCCACCCATGCCACTGTCTTGAACGAGTCTCAGGGAGGTCAGCTGGCGAAACGCATTGGATGCTTCATCAGCAGGTTACGGTGAGGTCACACCAAGCCACCCGGCCTTTCATCAGCATGCACCAAGTGATGGTTGGAGCCAGGCGTGAGCCCGCTGCCCCTTCTTCCCCTCCACACTAACTATAAATTACCGACTGGGACGATCCTGGACATACTTAATGCAATTCTGTTTATTTCTGACCGTGGCTGGGAGAAGCACAGTTGTTCTTGGTTATAGAGACAATGTATGAGGCTTTCTGGTTTAGTTTTAAAGGGTTGAGAGGAAACTCCAGTGAAGAGCTGCCATTTTCTCTGTGCTGTTCAGTTCTCACTGAAATGGCATTGCTAAGAGCTGTCTTCACCCTCTTACTGCCACTTGCACCACCTTTTATACCTGGGAAAAGTGCACATTTTCAGTTTGTCAGGATTTTTCTGTGGGACCTTAAATGGTGACAGACAGCAGCAGGCAAAGAACTTATCAGTACCACTGGTTATTTCTGTGCTACTGAAAATCCCTTCTTGGGGAGAAGCCAGCTTCCTGCTTCACAAACAGAAAAGGCCTGAAAGAGCAAAAAAACAGGGTCTGTGGGCTAGTAGAGGCTTTTATCCATTTCCTTTCCTTAATTCCAGAAGAAAACCTCCTCCAAGGCACAGCCTCAGAGAGTTTCGATCCACCAGCAGAGTTAATTCTGTAGGTTCTGTATGCGATTAACCAAGGGTGTGATTTTACAGCGGTTTCGGAAGAAGCACAGCTGCTGCTGTTAGGAGCTGCTAGCAGTCTGTTTGTTGTGGCTCAGGTGGGAACTGGTGGTCTCTAAACCAGCAATGAAAGCAAGGTGTGAGAGCCAAAACCTGCTGTGCCGCAGCCTGCCGGGCGCTGCCGGCTTGTCTGTGCGCTCCCAGGGGGGCGGCTGCAGGGCTGGGGCTGCCCCGGCAGAGGGGTGCTCGGTGCTGGGGGAGCGCCGAGTCCTGCTCTCTGCTCCTTGGACGATGTTTCAGGCATCCTAATGTAGGCTCAAACCCAAGAATCCCATTTAGGGTGTTTACAAAAGCAATATCCAAATGGGTGGGTGGTGAAATTGGAGTAAGCTCGTGGCCAGCTGGGAAGCGGCTGTCAGGTAACTAGAGGAAACCAAGGGACGAGGAGAAGCAAGATTCAGTACCCTCGTCTGCACAGCCTAAGTGGATGTTGTGAGGCCATGTCCCTTTCTATTGTCCCTTTCCTCAGCAAATCACCTTTTAAACTATTTTCTGAGTTACAGCTCCTGGGCTAAGACCAGAGAGAAAAGCAAGCAACCGACCTAACAAAAAACCCGAGTGAAAGCCCCTCAGAAGGGAACGCGAGCATCCAGCTAGAAGCTGACTGATTTTGATTTATGGTTTCTTTATCCTGCAGAAGTAGGAAGGTAATGAACCACTGTTTTGATCTCTGTGGGTTTTCCTGTGGCAGTGAGGAGATCAAAACAAGTTTAACTGTTTCTGATACCTGTGTGCTTTCTTCCCTCTCCTGCTCCTTCCCTGACTCTCCTACAGGCAGCCCTATGCCGTGCCGAGGAGCGCTGGCTTCGTGTTGCCCTAAGCCCAGCTCCCCACTGCTCTGCACAGTTCCCCATTGGGGTCCCGCAGCCCAGCCCGGGGCCGTGATGCCCGGCCGGCTGGGGCAGGGACAGCCGCTGCCCTGTGGGGCTCCCAAGCTCTCGGCTGGGCCCAGGTGCTGGCAGCATGGCCCACGGGGAAAATTCCCTGGTAAGGAGTGTTGGCAGCGGGTGGGACGGGGAGGCACATCGTGGGGGGACACAGCGCGCTGTGGGGCTTACCGTCAGTTCGCGGAGACGCTGCTGTAGCTCTTCCTGATGGGGAAGGTCAGCTGGCCCGAGAGGTCCAGCGATGCCGCCTTTGGGTGCAGCGCCCTGCGTGGGTGCAGAGGGCTGGTGCCGAGCCGGGGTGAGGGCAGCGCTGGCAGCTCGGGGCCCGGCGGGCTCCCCTCGGGCAGCGGGGGCTCCACCACGGGTGCCGGCTCTGTCCTGCTGCGGAGCAGGCGCGGGGAGGGCTGCAGGCTGTGCCGCTTGGGCGGCGGGGGGCTGTGGTTCTGGAACCTCACCGTCTTCACCTGCTGCAGTGAGAAGGGAAACACGTCACCACGGGGCAGCGGGAGGCTTGCCAGGATGCTGTGGTCCCCCCTGAGCTCCCAGGGCTGCCCCCTCGGGGTCTGTGCAGTGACTTGCCCTTTGGGTGCCCCGGGAGGGGAGAGCTGTCAGCAGGGCGATGACGGGGTGTCTGCCTTTTTACCCAGGCAGTGTCGCTCTGGCTGCCAATGGGGATAGAAATCTCCATTCCAGGCGGCTCAGCCAGTGACGCGAGGGAGATTTGGGGGCACACCGGAGTGCTGCACAGCCCGGCCCAGCGGAAGGTCTGACATCCAGGTCTGGCATCTGCTCATTTGATACCAGACTCCTGGCGACCTCTGTGGGATTCGTGCCTCATTTAAGACCTCAGAAACTCTCAAAATTTGATCACAACCAATGTTCATTCATTCACTCTGAAGGAGACCCTGCAGCCCCCGGCCTTTCCAAAGGGCTTAATTTGAACAGCAGAGTCAGCAACACCACTACCTGATCACTTAATGCAGGTATTGATCCTGCTGATTTCTATCAGGAAGAAAGCTGGTGAGAAGGGAGCGAAGCCCATCAGGGACTGAGGGCCATGGCCAGTGCTGGGCTGACACCAGCTGTGGGTCCCTAGGGGGCTGTGAGGTCCCCCCCGCCGTACCTTTTCGGTGCTGTTCCGGGAGGTGTCTGGTTTCACCAGGATGGACGGTGGAGCTGATGCAGGCGGCTTTGGGGCTGGCTCACTCTTTGCTGGAGGGTCTTTGGCATCCAGGATCACTGAGCTGCAGACGGAAGGCGTTCTGCTTTCCCCTCCTCTGACCACAAGCAGTGGTGAAGCATCGTGGGAGAAGTTTGGCCTCATTCCTGCCTCAGCCACGCCAGCTCCAGGAGGGATGCTGTGCGGCTGGGCGCTGATGTGCTGATAGAGCTGAAACTGCAGCGGGCGCACCGTGGCCGTGGGAGGACGCCGCAGGGAGCCGGCAGCCTGCACGGGGCCCCCTGGCTGCCCCGGCCTCTGCAGGGACCCATCTGGGGAGCAAGAGCCACAGGAGGAGGTGAGTTAACAGGAATGCGGCAGGGTCCCGAGAGGAAGACAACAGCAAAGCAAAGAGCAGAAGTGAGCAGTGGTTCTGTATCAGCAGCCCTGTTCACAGGCTGGTCCTTGCCTCCCCAAGCCCTGTGCCAGGCAGAGACCCTCATTGGGAAGTACCTGCGGTGGGGAGGCAGCACGTCCCTGTGGGTCTGGACACCTTCTGCCGTTTTTTTTTTTTTTTTTTTTTTTTTTTTTTTTTTCTGAACAAGCAAGAACTGTAAGCACAAGCCCTTATGCCTGAGCCGTCCTCACAGTGCTGGTGGTTTGGTGCTGTTTGTTGTTCCCACTTTGGCTGCTCCGTCTGATACCTGCTTTCCAGGCTGCAGTGCTGGAAGTCGCACACTTTATTTCTTCTGCAGCGTCTTGCTGTTTGCAAGATTGATTTTTTAAACAGAGCCACCACAGGGGAAGGAGTCCTTTGCAGTAAAATAACTTTTAAGATAAATCCAATTTTGAGTGTAAAACCACTGACAATAGCTCTTGCAAATGAGCCTCACCTCTGCCAGTGACACTGCCTATCTCCAGCCGGCAGCTCCGCCTGGAAGTATCGGGGAGTACGCCAGAGTTGCTCAAATAGACTTGGAAATATATTCCAGAGCAGCATGTATGGTCTGAAGATAAACCCTACCAGTCTCATTGAAAAGCGTTTAACCAACTGAGCTCTGAATAAGCTTTCAAAAAGAGTTTTTCTTTGCCAACTCAAAAAAAATAAAATTTAAAAAAGGAGTCACCAGAATGACCACAGCTGGGGAAAGCCCGCAGTGCTTTCATGGGGCGCTGCCAGCCTGGCAGGAGCATTTGCTCGGGCATCCCCTGCAGCCCAGGCACGTGGGACCAGTGGCTGCAGGGCTGCGTTGGCTGGCAGCACGGCTGACCATGGAGTGACCCCTGCTCCTTATCTTTGTGAAGTATCCTTTCTCACCTTCAGCCTATTCATGATTTTATGCACCCTGGATATTTCCAAGCTGAAAAATTTTGACTCCTACAATGACACAGCTGAGTTTTACTCTCTTGTTCTGAGTTCCTTTCTTAATAATTCCTGCTTCAAATAACGTTTCAAATTAACCTTTTTAAATTGCTTCTGAGCATGGAGTTGGAGCTCTCAGAGTCATCTGTGACAACTCCAAAATCCCTCTCTAGAGGGACACAAGTAATTTAGGGCCCAGTGCTGTGTGTGCATAATTAGGGCTTATTCTTCTCCACATCCCTGTATGGATGTTTCAGCTACCGCTCTAGCTCCCCGTGATGCTTGGTGTTGTGAAATTATCTCGTGGATCTTTGCAGCCCACCTGTGCACAACTGTGCTGAAAGCCCCAACAGCAGCGGCAAACTTCACATCCCCGTCCTCGTGCCTGATGCCAGCCGCGCTCCGTGTGGGCGCTGCTCACGGCTGTCCCCGGGGGCCCGCGAGCGAGCTGCTCTGCGCAGCGCTGGTGGAAGCTTTTTGGCTGTCCGCTGTGCTCAGCAGCCACCTGTTTAGGCACCCCAACTCCTTCAGGGAGCTCAGGCTTGTTGAAAAGACTGCTCTGATTCCCCTTTCCCCTGCCATGTGCAAGGTTTCCCTGCCTATCCACTGATTCCACTTAGGGACCGATCCTATTATCTCAGTACAGTTCACCTTTAGCTCGCTGGCACTTGTTCCACTTACTTTGACGGCCAGCCCTTTGCTCGGCACCCCGTAATGCTCCGGGCCCCTCCCAGCCCCCCAGCAGCACCCCCGGCCCCGCACTTACTCTTCCTGGTGCTGCCGCGGCCGCGCCGCAGCGACGCCTGCCCCGTGCCCCCCAGCCCCGCGCTCCTGCCGGGCGAGGGCACGGGCACGGGCAGCGCAGCCACCTTCAGCGGCCGGCTCTGCCGCTGGCCGCTCTCCGAGATGCTCCCCTGGGAAGAGAGCGAGGAGGTCGACAGCGTCCACGAGGCGTACAGGGAAGGCAGCTTCGAGTCGGAGAGGCTGGGCTTCCTGCTGGCAAGGGAGAAGGAAGGTGTGAGCTGGCGTTCAGAGGCTTTCCATAAGGAAAGCAGCAGTTGGTCTCAAATGTGAACTGGGTGGGTTTAAAGGCTCCTGCACTGCTCCTGCGCCAGGGTTTTGGTGGAAAACACTACAGATGGCACAGGTGGTTCAGGAGGGTGGAATATAGTGCCCGGATCAGTGGTTGTGGTGGAAGCACTTTGTGAGGCTCGTTGGGGTGTCTGAGCTGTGCTCTCCACTGCTTGTTCTGCTCTGTTTATCAGTGAGGTGGGGCCGTGGTGTTATCGGAGCTACGCTGTGAGCTGTGGAATGAGCTGGGGGGGTACAGGTGAGCCACCAGTGTGGGTGCACAGGGGGCAGCGCGGGGACCTGAGCAGCACTGGGACTTCTGGTTCTAACTGGAAGATTGGGCAGAACAGAACATAAACAGGGAGCAAGCAGCTGAGAGGAAGATGAACCAAAAGTGGCAGGAGCACCTTGGAGATCAAGTAAGTTTTGGATTGACATCAGATTGCTCTGGAGAGGCAGAGGCTGAGATCCCCTTGGTCTTCTGATGGCAGTTACTCAGAACAAGGCAAAGTTGCTCACGAGGGAAGGAGGGGATCTGTTTTGTCCACCTCACAAGGAAAATGGGGAGAGGGAACTGCTGGCTGTGGGCTGGGGACAAGAAAGGCACTGGGCGCTACTTTTCTAAATAACAATGTGGTAATCTGCAAAGAGGCTTCTTGGCTCATCCCCATGCTTTCTGTTTCAGATCCAGCACTGCATTTCTAAGCTCTTTGTCATGTCTTTGCCGAACCTGAGCAAATATCAGGGGAACTGAGGGCACAGGAATTTTTTTTTCCCTCACCTAAATTGCATATTTTAATGATTGCTCTTTCTAATGCATGTTTGTTTAGTTAGATCAGCGGCTTCTAGCATTTAAATGCCTGCTCTAAAGACAGTATTTTGATGCTACGAGAGCCTTCAGCTTATAGTTTCCCTTCTGGCAGAAAAAAGAAGAGTGGTGTCATCCAAAACGAACAAAGGCGAGTCTGAGACCAGACCAGCTGCTGCTCAGCCTGGCTCCCAGACTCATCACTGTGTGGTGGCACCTGCAGGTCTCTGCCCAAGCTCCTGGCCTGAATTAATCAGCCGTGTGAGAAGATAGAGATGTCCCTGCCAATATCCCAGATTTAAAACCAGCAGAGGAAGGCTGAGCGCACCATTGGTGTGTTTAGGCTGTGTGCCACCCCGGGGCAGTGCTGCTGAACCCATCGGCTGCCTAGACTTCTCCCTGCACCAGCCCCTGGGTGTCGGGGGGAGATGTGATTCCCACGTAGCCAGGCAGGTGTGCAGAGAAATAAAGAGCAGTGGGAGGTGTCCCTCCCATGGCAGGGGGTTGGAGTTAGATGATCTTTAAGGTCCCTTCCAACCCAAACCACCCTATGATTCTGTCACCACAGCCCCGCGAGCAGTCACAGGCTGTTATCAGTGCTGCAGGAATCCTGTGCAGTGATTCCACCGGGGGGACGAGAAGGCACAGCATCCTACATGTGACCCACCCCTCTCCACATGTCTCTGTTCCATATAAGAGAAATCAGACCTGAAAAGAGGAGCGACGTAGTTGCTGGGGAAGATGCCCACTCTCCCCGTGACCAGCGACATGCCCCGCAGCCAGCCGTCGTGGTACTTCCCAAAGATGCGGACCCCTTCTCCTTTCTGCAGCTCCAGCTCGTCCGGCCCATGAGCCATGTAGGAGTGCAGAGCCACGCACCTGGGGAGACAAAGGGGGGGTGAAGGGAGGGAAGGCAGCCTGCAGAGAAGCCACTGCCTGCGTGTGAAGTGCCTGGAGCACGTCCCGAAGTGCCTGGTTTTAGCCGTGCTGAAGAGGTGATGCTGTGGGGTCTGGGTGAGAGGCTGTCTGCCTGAAGCCTCCTCAGCCAGCGCTTGCACCAAGTCTTTGGGTGTTGCTGGTACTGTGGAGAGAACGTGCAGGGAAGAAACAGCCTGTAACTTTAGGCCAAAGGGGATATGAATAAAAGAAAAGCCAGCAGGAATGAAGAACAAAGCAGATCTCATCAATGGCTTCTGTCCCAGAAGAGCCAGCCAAGCCAGCCACGGGCGACAAGCAGGCATCGGGGAGGAGAAGGCTGCTGTCCTGACACAGCAGGTGCTCCATTGAAACAACTGGTTAGGGACCAACGGGGGCCTGTCCTGAGGCAAGGCACCCTGGAAGAGTGCAGCATGGTGCCCTGCCCAGGCGATAGCGTCAGGAATGTGTTCTGCCTTTGAAGCACCCGGTGAGCAAGAGGCCCTGCGACTGCTTGCCCTGAGCATCCTCTAGAGGTGCGGGAGGGAGCACGGCAGTGCAGGGCGGCGGAGGCAGCGCCAGCACCAGTGCTTGAAGCCCGTCCTCCTCGCTCCCCTTGTCCTGCCACGACCACAGCTATGCAGAAACACGCTGGGACCCCAGTCACTGACACTGGGGGGGGGGGGGTGGTTAAGAGAGAAGCAGATGAATGAGGAGGGAGATGGATCTCCTCAGGACTAGTGAGGAAACTGGTCTAGAAATTCATTTGAAATTTCATTTTTCCATGGAGAGGGAGATGTGATCTGCTCCCACTATTACGGACTGTGTGGCAATTAGCGGTTATTTAAAAAAAAACAAAAACAGGGGACTGTCCAAGACTATCCCATAACTTTTAAAATGGCTTGTTCTCTCTCGCTGTTGTTCAGAACAATCAGCTGACAGTTTGTCTAAAAAAGTCTCAGATAACTTCTGCTGCTGCTACTTGCACAGACCAGACAAAGTTCAGCGTAAGGGTGTTCTGACTCTGCAGCGGCTTATTTTATACAGGATTTGTCTTCAGGGGCAGGACAGGCACAGACTGGTTTCATATTGTAGGGGTGTAAAAGGAGCTGTGCAGAACAGGCAGCTGATAAAACGCTAAAATACAATCCTCATTCTGAGAATTATTTGAAGGCTTCAGGAGCGTTCTTATAGTTAGGAATCACTGCGTTTGTGTGCAGCAGTCTTGGATGACCTATGCTAATGCAAGAAAATAGCAAATACCATGAACATAGAACAGACTTCTAGATATTGCTCATGTGTACAACTGTACCCAAAGGTCTGGCTCAATACTGGGAAGGTGCTAATTACCATGTAGACAGCTTGTTGCTATTTGGTTGTTGTTGTGTAGCTCACCACAGTGCCAGGCTGCTGAACCTTATTCAGAGGAAAACAAATAATCACAACATACTTACCTACTAATTTTAACTCTGGGAAACTTTTAAAAGATTGGATCATTCAAAACATCAGTGATCTTCACTGCCTTACAGTAAATACATAGCCTCACTTAAGGTGTGATTAGTTTCTTAATATTTAAAAATTTTTAAATGTACCATTGATAAGTGGGTGAAACTATATATATATAAATATGTAAGTGAGGTAGTAAGGTGCAAAGATAGTTCACCTGTGGGAGATATAATAATTCAAAAAGATGAGCACAGCAATTTGGAATCTGTCTCAAATCTTTCCAGCAGTATATCTGAATTCTTCCATATCCCCTGATCTCCCTAAAATTAATCTTCAGCTGCCCCAGTAGGTCTCTGTGACCTCCTGCTCAGAACTGCCATGGATACTCATGCCTGGATGGGCGCTCAGATTCGGACACACAGCACCTGCGCTCTGCTCTGCCTGCATCTCCTGGCACACGACAGCCTCAGGCAGGGCTGGCTCAGCTCAGGTGAAGGTACAGGACATAGCACAACACCCCGGTGTTCGTTTCCTTACGTACATGTTGGCTGACAGGTGGTGCTGCAGGTGGGGGAGAGTGACAATGGCTGCTGAGTGCCCCAGCGATCCTGAAGCAGGGTAGTAAGATGCACTGACCTGCAGGGAGAAAGAAAACCACTGTTAGTCTGCGTATAGGCTTATTTTAGCCACTGGGAGAGCGACTGAAAGCATTTAACAGGCCTCACCCATGCTTCCAAAAAAACGAAGAAAAAAAGACACAGTCTTAAAGAGAGGATTTCTGTTGGCCTGTGGCTCTGAGGAGCACCGTGTAATGGTGGATCTAGAGGAGACAACTGATTCAAGCGTAACCCCGCCTAGCAGCAATTACTTGCTCCTCTTGATATCTCCAGAAGATTGCAGGGAATGGAATGAGTATCTCAGTGTATTACATAGGAGACAATTGCCTGGCTCCATGCCCCAGTCTACATGGCAAGTAATGCTGGCTGTTGGTCCCAGTCTCAGCAGTGGAGCTGCAGGTGCACAAGAAGAGGGTTGGTGTGCACCATCCATCTGCCATGCAGCCACGGACCCGCTGCTGGAGGGGTCTTCTGGCTCAGCTGGTCCCTTCCCTGCCTGAAGCTGCACTGGCCTTGGTACAGGGTCAACTAGGGTACATGGCTTTGACTTTTTTACAAAGACATTTCAGGTGAAAGAGGAGTTGAAAAAAAGTCCAAAATATAGTAGGAGGACTTGTGGTCCTTCTGATTTAACACTGACACACTTTCCAGGGTGCAGCTCAGGGGGGCTGGTGGAGCTTCTCCCACTCTGTAAGCAAGGAGCTCAGCTTTCCCTCTCCCCGTGAGGTTGTCTACCTGTGTCCAATGCACTTACACCCCCTGTGTGCATTGCTAAAATGAGGACGAGTTCCCTGAAGCAAATAAAGAAACAAGGCGTTGAGCAGACAAATATCATGTCTATGTATAAGTGGGATATGTCTAGATTTGCTGTTGCAGCTCTTGGTGCAGATTCAGGAAGAAAAAGGAGCTTGGAAAAAAAGCATTTCTGACCCAGACTTTGCTAACCAGGAGGAGACTGTCACGTCTGCCAGGTGAGGGACTGTATAATCCTTGTTCTTTTACTTGTTTACCTCCAGCTGGGACATTGGCATTATCTAAAACCTCAAAAAATACAGCCTTCACCCCAGTGATCCTTTAATAATTGTTATTAAAGCTGTTTACCATGTCTGTGGCTGAGGAGCTCCACAAGCACTTGCACGTGCATAGTGCAGCCCCCTTGGGCAGAGGAGGGAAGCAGCGAGGAGAGCCCCGCGCAGACGGGTGCTTGGCTGGAGCTGCCCCTTCCCCACTGCCCAGAGCTACCAGGGCCCCAGCGCCCAGCGTGTCCTCCCCTCACAGGACTCTTCTGTGCTTAAACAAAGAACCTCAGCCCCCTTCTGCTGTTGGAGTTCTGGGTTTAAAACTTGCTTGGGTAACAGCACTGAAGTCCTGCTGCATAACTGCTGCAGGCTTTAGATGTTGAGGACAGATGGACAGATACTGGTTCCCTTTTTCTTTCTACTGTTCTGAAAGAAATCTCTTTCAGATACTTCTGTCTTTGTTCTTGTGCACAAACACAAAAACACAAAATGTGGGATGGGGCCAAATTATGAGAGAGAAAACATGCTTCAGATGGGGTTCATCAGCTTGAGAGGCTGTGACAGCACTTCCATACTCGGGGCAGTCTGGGTGCTGGTGTGCCCTGCAATGCCAGCCCGTGCTCATTAGCTACCAGCAGCTAACAGATGGCATCTGCTTGCCTTGGGAGAAAACATTTGCTCAGCATGGTGGCTAATTTATCTAGGCCAGTAAAGGAGGACAGGCACAGGTGGGTCAGAGGCTCTCACATACATCCTTCCTCTAGGAAAGGGAACCAGAGAGGTGGTGTGGGAAAAAGCAAAGAGGAAACTAAACATGGATAATGTGAGGGCTGTGATTACCATTTCATTAGTTCAGCAGTTAATTTCAAGGGTTTAGGATAAAGAGGATGACCTCTCTGAGGCTAGTAAACTGCTCTTCCATCTCCAGTGTACTCCGCAGGCTGAAGGAAGCTTCCAGATGCAGGGAGCATGACATGGAGATGTTTCACTCAGCTGCCAGTGCAACGCGGGTTAGCGTTCAGAGCTGCTTGATGGAATGAGCAGTAGAAACGGGTACTGGAGCTACTAGATATGGGAAATGCTAATCCTATTCCACAAGCATATACAAAAATGCAGATAAATAAAATCCTACAAACTATATTAGCCAACTATACTGACTAGACAACATTATTCAGTTAAGGAATTCTGCTGAAGGGCTCAAAGGACGTCACAGGTCTGTGAGCTGCCTCCTGCTCCCTCTCCCCTCTCCTCGGGCTGTGTCCCCTGGCACACGCAGCAGCACCTGCCCCTAGCCAGCAGGCTTGCAGCATGCTGGTGGTGGTCCCTGCCGTACCAGGAAGGAAAGGCACTGGCCTGTATCCTGTTGGGAGCTGCAGGACAGCATGCTTGAATGGAAATAGATGTATTTCCTTGCTGCTGCAAACCGATTCAGTAATCAAGGTGTAAGGCCTTTCAAAGAAAACAGAATTTTTCTTGGGAAGGTGGACTCTTCCCTCGCACTTGAAAGTCCAATTATCTTTCAAATGGCAAACGCCAAACAATTTAATCTGAACTTTTTTGATTGGTTTTAGCTGGCTGCCTTGTTTACACGCTCGGCAGGGAGGCAGAGGATTAACTGGAACAAGGACAACGCAATCCCTCTCCTCCCGAGGAGTGGTGCCAGGCAGGGGGCAGCACGTGGCCGTAACACCCTGCACTGCTGCAACGCCTTGCTTGGAGGATCTCCAAGTGCTTTACAAACATTAGGAGATTAGCCAGGTCTCTCAGCCCGCAGAGGCGGGGAGGTTTCGTTATCTCTGTCTCACAGACGGAGGCCGAGGCCTATGGCGTGAGGCGGAGGCAGCAGTGCTGCCGCCTGGCCCTTGCCGGTGCTGGGCCCGTGGGCTCAGTCCCTCGGCCACTGGCAAAGTGCGTTGAGGGTGAGGAGTAGCGGTGCCCGGTGCTGGTGCAGGAAGGCCCAGGCTACTGAGCTCACTGCTCTGTGCCACCCTTGCACTCCTCCAGTTTGTACCCAGTGCCTCTTGTCCTGGTGCCGTGCACAACTGAGCAGAACCTGGCTCTGTCCTCCCTGCACGTATTTATAGGCACTGATAAGACCCCCCGAGTCTTCTCCAGGTGGAACGGTCCCAGGTCCCTCAGCCTCTCTGCACAGGAAAGGAGGGATAAACCGCGGCCTACTTTGTTCTCGAAACTTGCTCAGCCGGTGATTTCCCTTTCCTTCCCAGTGATGCTCTGTTTGTGAAAGGAATTGTCATGGAACCACCGCCCTTTCAGACATGCACAAGCCACACGAGGCTTTTCCACAGCCCCAGCACTTACTACCAAGGCTAAACCTCCACAGGAGGCTGCCGCCTGGGCAGACTAGCCCTTGGGACAGCATCAGCTCTCGCCTCTCCCCTTGCTCCTCAGTCCTGCAGCTTCTGTTCTAATCAGGAGGGTTCCCTTATCAGCAACTTCAGCACCGCGGCTGTTCAAGCTGATTACTGTCAGGGAGCTGTGTGCGTCCTCAGTGGGATACGACCAGCAGTATCTGGCTGGCAGTTCGTATCGAGGCTTGCACTAGAGTCTCAGATTTCCACCTCAGTCAAATACCGTAACCCAGAGATGGAGATGGAAAGAGGAAAAGCTGCAACCTCCGTGGCCACGTGCACAGCACATAGATCCCCCCCTAAGTCTGCAGGAGAAAAATTACTGTTTATAAGAAAGGAAATTCAAACCGTTCTAAGGCAACAAGTTAACACATTCACTCTATTGCTTATGCTGTTGACAATAGCTCACGCTGAGACACTTTTGGTAAAATTATATTGGGTTCATGAGACATGATACCATTTCAATTGAATTATAGTTCTATTGTAAGGCTTCATTTCCTCTCACATAAACCAGGATCTAACATCCAAGGCTCTTCACAGGCTATTGCTAAGTACAAAATGCCTGCTGGGTTTTATTGCATAGACACTGAACTACCAGGGGCTGGCTTATTGCTTTATAAAATGTTAGAGCAACCTTGAGTATGAAAGATGCCATATAAATCTAAACAAAACCTTTTTCCTCCCATTTCAGATGATCTGTGAAGATCCTGTATTGAGATCCTTAGTCAGAGTGTGAAGAAGGAATGAAACTCTTTCGCCTCCTAAAATAAGGAGAGGATATAGTCCAAAAGGTCAGTCTACTTTTATTAGCTCAGCCCCTAGTTCATCTTCTCTCAGCACAGGCTTGGGTTTAGCCTGCCGGCAGGCAGGGGCTCCCTGCTAATTGCCCTCCCGTGGCAGGAGCCATTCATCTGAGAGAGGCAGGCAGCAGGCTGATTGAGGACAGGGCAGCAACCCTGACTGCTTTTTGGGAGGCTTGATATCCCTGCTTAGGAGCAACAGGAGGCTAGACCGCTATTGCAGCAGGTGTCCTAATGCTGCTTTTTGTGAGGAAGCCTGTCCTGCTGACAGCTTGTCTCTGAGGGTTAGAGCAGCACGCTGCCAGCTGCTTACGGGGCTGTGCCTTGGTGCCGGGACCTGGTGGGCTCTGGGCGTGCGGCCCCATTTGCTGCGGGCTGCGCCACATGCGTGGTGCCAGCAGAAACTCTCCGCAGGTGTCCAGCGTCCCCGGATCCACCTGGACCAAACCCTCAGGCAGAGGAAAGGCTGTTACCAGCCGCTGCCTCCCCTGCACAAGGGGGGAGTGAGGCCTGGTGAGTGCCCCTGGGGATTTGTGTTCCACACTGACCCTTTTAAAATTAAAAATACTGGATTTTGCAAGTGAAGGTCTATGTTTTCTCTCCACAGTAGTGTAGGAATTGGAAATGGAGAACACTTTATCTAAGTTTAGTTACTCTGATAACTTCACTTCTCTTTCTGTGAATTCCCCGGAGTCCCCGGACCTACGGACAGACCTTTCAATTCAGAAGGAGGGGAAAACATCCCAGGCAGCCTGATGCTGCGGATGACAGTATCTCACTGATGCTGTCAGCCTGGGTATTGTGTCTCTGTACATGTGTGCTTCAGCTTTCTGGGCACCCGCCTACACACCCAGTGTTTCTGTCCAGAGCCCGGACCCCACACCGCGCCGCTCCCTCACCTGGGCAGGGGGGCCCTGGGGGGCGTCCGCCTGCTCGCTGCTGGGGGTGGCCACGCTGGGGTTGCTGGAGCTGATGAGCACCGGGGAGCTGATCTCCAGCACCGGCCGGTCGGCGGGTGAGTGCACCATGCGGTTCAGGGTGTTGAGGGCGGTGGTGATGGAGAACGGCCGCAGGCTCTTCCGCCGGGAGTCGGGCGCCTTGTGGAGCGCGGGCGGCTCCCTGCCCTTCGCTTTGGGAGAGGCCGTTCGCAGCGACGCGCACTTAAACGGGGGCGGCCAGTGGCTCTTGCTGGTCTGCAGGAGCTGCCTGGCCGTCGTGTTGGGCTGGAAGAGGCAGAAGAAGAGGCTGGTGATGCCGCTGCAGCGGTTCCCCTTCCCGCAGGCTCAGCCCAGGGGCTGCTCAGGAGCTTTAAGCTGCCCAGAGCACAGCAGCGGGCAGGTTGCAGGTTTACAGGTTATCTGTACAAGTTGTGGCTCAGTTATGTCCTTGATATGTTTTCAGTGACAAATTCTGAATGCAAAATTACCAATGCAGAGCTCACAGTGAAATTTTAATTGGTTTGAAACATTTGTTGCTTAGACAGAACATCAGTGAGGCTAAATGCCCCCTCCCCCCCGATACTCTGCGGAAACTTCATCCCTTGCCTAAGCCCTTGACTTGCAGAGGTGCACAAAGATGGCAGGCTCCCTAGCAGCATTGCAATAAAGCCAGCTGTAAATCAGAGGGGACATTTGGGCACACCTTCCTGTTCTGCGTCATGCTGGCAAGCTCAGGTGCACCTGGCAATGGGATGCCGCATCTCTACTGCCGAATTTAGGAACAGACTTGGAGAAGCTCTCACTGGTAGCAGCTTCCCAAGCAAAGCTGGAGCCCCCCATTATGTCTCCGTAGCCCAGCACATTCATGGCTCATTGCTGTTGCCCCTGAAAAGAGCCCAGCTTGGTAACCATCGGTTTTAATGAGAGAAGAGCCAGGCCCTGAGTTTGCACAGAGGCAACAATCAAGCAGTATTTCTTGGAAACTGCTGATCACTACAGTATTAATAGCAAAGGGCATGTGGTGACAATGTTTTTCACCATGATGACTGCCAAAGGAATTAATCATGATTTACTGCTGACATTAACGAATTGCAAAACTTTGAGATTCTCACCCACTCATGTGAGGCAATATGCCTGGCTCCGCGGATGAAGGAGAATTAGGCTAACACAGAACAGGTAGTTGTCTCTCAAGCGTTATCATTTTAAAGCATGGATTGTTTTCACATTTCCCTCCTCCTCACTTCTTAAAGCAAGTTTTAAAAAGCATTGTGTATGCATACGTACACATATAAGGTGGTAATATTGTCATTTATATATGTAATCAAACTTTAGCCAGAACCAAAACCAATTTTCTGCCCTTTCTAACACCAGGGGACTTGATAAAGAGGGACACAAACTGGAACATCAAAGCCAAAAAAAGCCTCACGTTCCCCAAAGTAGATCTACCTTTGCTTTCTCCATAACTAAGAACTTTCTCCATAACAAATTCCCTGGTGTCTTTACATGGCCCTAGCTAACTTATTTCTGTTAACGCCAGAGTTAAATAAGTCATTTCTGAAGCTAAAATGATTTCATTAAATGAAAAGACGTTCTACAAAATGTATTAGAGCTTCAAATTAGATGTTTTACTGATGTCCTTTTATAAAATAGCCACAAAGAGGTGCTTGCTGTAATTATGATGATTATAAGTATTAATTTTATTTCTAGGAATTCTTGTTGGTGCCATGTACACCCTGCATCCCCAGCTGAGCCGTAGGAACACAATTAATGTCTAGACCGGTGCTCACAAAGGGCTGGCCGGGAGCGGGCGGCTGCAGGGGCTCTGGGGGAGGATGCTGCGGCCAGGGAGCGCCGGGACAGGCGCCTGCGAGGAGTGGCTCCAGTGCTCGGCCCGGGTTTGGAGCTTTGCCCCCCCGTTTCTCCGTGCTGAGGAGGCTTCGCTGCGGTGGGACGGGGCGCAGGGGCTCGCTCTGCCCGGGATGTGGCAGCGGCCAGCGCGCGGCGCGGTGGAAGCGCAGGTGCGAGCGGCTGTACCTACCTCCACGAACAGGACAGGGAAGATCCCTACTTTGTCGCCTAACTTGCCCTCTGCCCAGTTTCCATCAACTCTGCTGATGACGGTGATGATATCACCCTGAAAGGCAGGAGCACATTGTTACCAGCCGTCTCTTGTGGGAGAGGTGGATGGTGGGTGTGAAGATGGGCTCGCCCTGTAATTTCACAAAGCAGCCTTGTTAGGCAGCCTTGCCGGTGTCCCCTACAAAGTCCTCTGTTCGGCAAAGCTTTTGGTATGTATTTATTCTGAAACACAAGCTTCTCTGTCCTTATTCAGCACAATGCTCAAACATGTTTTTAATTTAAAGGTGCAAGCGTGGCTGAATCGGGACCATGGACACGCGTCTGACAGAGGAGACATGAAAAGCAGAGGAGCTTTCCACTTGTTTGAAGGTTTCCACCGCGTGGAAATGCTTCTGTAATCACCATGCCCAGAACTAATAATGAAAATGGTGTTTTAGCTACGAATGAAGCAAAAAATCCCTGTGTAAGTGTCCAGGTAATTGGTGTCATGATGCCAAGAAACTCCGATCATTACTTCGGGAGCTGAAATAACCTGATGTTGCTGGAGTGTAGGTATTGAAATGCTCTGGAGGAAAAGAAGCTAGTTTGTGTTGACGAATAGCTAAATCTCTTTAGAAAGACTCACGTTTCTGAGCAATCCAGCCAAATTAAATCTTGTCAATTTTTAATATGCGTTGATTTCATCATTTTAATGAAATCTGCTGTAGGTTTATGGGGGGCAAGTAAAGAGAACTCTACAAGATTTTTTTTTCTCTCTTTTGAACTAATGAACAAAGTTTGAGTTTAAACTTTTATCTGCTCTGAGGTTCAAGGGGTCAGAGAAGGCTGGGTCCTGCCGGCCAAAATATTTGCGCCTGTGCAGGGTACAAGCATGAACCTTCTACCCGAATTGGTGGAAATTTTGTGTTTCTCTTGCAGCAGGTGAATGACTCTTCAGGCTCAGACAGGCAAATCGGAGCTGGCTGCTGGCTACTTCCATGAACAAGAGCAAGAGATTGCTCTTCAGTGCCGCACACAGTTTGGTCCAGGCTTGTGGCCAGCTCTCTGCAGCTTCTCCTGAGAAGCCAGATGGACCTCAGGCATTCTGTGACTTGGTGGTTCTGTGAACTCTGGCATCACCCATCCAAGGCTCCGCTGTGCCTCTGCTGGGGTTCCCCTGCCTGCTGCGGCTCCTGGAGGGAATCATTTACAGGGCTTGCAGTGAGAGGGCTCCCCAGGCTGCTCTGCATCACTGAGCATCGCATCACCTGGAGGCTTCTGCAGAGGGGAGCTGCTGAAGTTCCTGTGCCAATCTTCCCAAACTCCATGCAGAAACACCTGACGGGTGTTGCAGAGCTCGGGGAGAGGAGGATGTTCGTGCCTCTTTGAAGAAGCATCTGTTTGTTTTAGATGTGTGCTCACTCCCCGTGTGTGAACTCTGCTGTGGGAGAGGAGAGGAGCACAGCCTCCCAAAAGCAAATAAACAGAGTGAGTAAGCCCTGAAACAAAGGCAAATAAAGTGGAAGAGAAAAAAGACACACAGACAGCAGGAAGCTGAGGAAGGCGCCTCCTGCTAATAAGTAAATCCTAATGACAAAGGAAGGACTGCTGGCTGCCCAGGCTCTCTGCATCGGCTGAAGCAGAAAACCCCCACTTCACAGGGCTGCTGCTGATGTGCAGCGCTGTTCCAAACCGTTTTTTTTCTTTTGTTTCCTCCCCTTCTTAGTCAGAAACCACATCTGGCTCCTGGCTGTTTGATTTCCCATCCCCTGGCCTCCCCACATCCGGCTCTGACTCCTCAGACACCTGGCCTGGACCACAGCCTCCCTCCCCTGCCTCTCCTTTCTGCTGGGGAGAGCTCGAAGAGCCTCTGCCTGTGCTGCCAGCAGGAGAGAACAGAGGTGGCTTCCCTGCTAGGACACTGATGCCTCCAGGCACTGCTTTCTCTGCTGTGCTTTGTGATGCCTCACCTCCTTTTGACAGTATAGGGACAATTGACTTTGCTGGGAGGTGCAGTTACTCAGAAAAGTGTGTCCTCTAACCGAGAGCAAATGCAAGCTCCGCAGCCTTTGGGGAATAAAAGCAAAGGCAGTAAAAGTTCAGGTCCTACCCTGCCAGTGTGTGCATTGGCTGAATATGTTCGGGCTGCAGAAGTGAGGTATTACCAGACTGGAAGCAATTTTCTGTAAGGTGTCAGCGGGTATCTTTTTGGTGCGTTGTGGTGCTGAGAGCAGCCCACCACCAGCAGCTGCTCCTCGTCAGCTAAAGCAGCTGAACCCAGGGGCTGAAATTGCTGCTCAAGATGACCTTGTCCTGACTGTGTCTGTGTGTGCCCTCGGGGAGCCATGGGGCTTTAGCCACTGCTGCCAGTGTCTGAAACCTTCCTGACTTTCAGAAGAGCTGCTGTAGCGCTGTGAAGCAGCAGAACGCGATACAACCCACAGAAGAAAGCCAGCCCAGCCCATGTCACCCAGCCTTTGGCTGCGCAGGGTGGTGTTACCTTGTGAAATGTCAGGCACTCTTTGTTTTCACTTTTGTCCCTGCTTCTCAGGTCAAAGTTGTAAAGTGCTCTGCAGAGGGGTGGTGGCAGGGGCAGGTGCTTGATGACTTGCACAGAGCTGGCTGGGAAGACACCGCTGATCCCGTTGGCCTCGCCCAGGTACCAGTTCTCATCCAGCTGTCGGAGCAGCATGATGATGTCCCCTTTGTTGAACCTCAGCTCGCCGGGATTGTGCCCTCGGTAGGTGTACAGTGCCTTGGCTCGTGGAACCTGTGGGATGAGAAACAACCCTTAGAGCTCAGCTATGACAATGGTGTTTCACATAGACAGAATTCCCCAAAAGTACTTGGTAATTACTGGGAAAAAGCTAGAGGTCTAAGGCTGAAGCATGCATTTACTGTGATTAACTACCCACATCCTTTCTTGATGTCTTTTTCTAATGAAGAAGCTCCAAAATACTTATTCCAAATTTGTATCTAGATGAAAAGCAGGCTGAACTTGTCTGAGAATATTAAGAAACAATTAATGCCTTAAACTAGTCTTCCCATGGGATTTTTCTGCCTGCTCTAAGCTCTCTTCTAATAAAATGCCTGTTGTAATGAACACGGTATTTCTGTTTCAGCATGTCCGGAGGTGACAGCAGCTGTGGAGCACCCGATGGCTGTCACCTGCAGGGCCCAACACAGCATCTTCAGGAGCAGCTACGGGAAGCAGGTGGGTGCAGGTGCCTTCCTGTGGGCATTGCCCCACTTCAACACTGCGCGACCGTGGTTTTATGTCAGCCTTTAATCTGAGTTACAGGAAGAGAGGTTTTCTTAATGTTATTGTTCTGCAGTATAATATGAGAAAGAAGAGAGATACTAAACCTAGCGGAAATGAGGGAACTCTACTATCCTGACTCTCATTGAAATGAAGCCACAAGGTTCACTTAAAATAACAGCTTTCCTGACCTTTATCTGTACTAGAAAACTCAATTTAATTTAATACACAATGCAACAGATCATTTAGATGGCTGAATAGATGCAGAGCCAGCCCTGGCCTTGCTGCTGTGAACCCAGGCGCTCCGCTCTGGGGCTGCCTGCGGCTGCTTTCCTGCAAGGAGCGCCGTTAGGACGGAGATTTCTGCTGAGGTCCTCTAGATGTGTGTTTTGAAACGGCAAAGCCAAAAGGCTTGCTCTTTATGTACTTGTGTGGAGATCCCTCGAGCACCGTGCTGTGTCCCACAGAGGCACATCCTGAAACAAGGATCCCTCCTGTGGGCCCCGCGGCCTTGGCACAGCCCCAGTGGGTGCAGAGCCCCGGCTCTGCAGGTGGCTGGTGGTGGAAGTCGTAGTCAGGGGAACACAAGTCCTCGTGCGTGCTTGTGAAGCATTAAGTGCCTACCGATGCTGTTTTAGCACAGGCTCGTGTTTGCACACCGCATTTCCATCATGTATCGGGTGAGCAGTCCTTGCCTCACATCCAGCTGGGAACAGCGGGCACAGCAAGATGCTGGGCAGTGGTGTGCCGATGGGAGAAATTGCTTCTTCACTCGCGGCAAATAGTGATTGGTTTTGGCATGAAGTAAGGCAGCAGTATGAACTAAACGATAATCTGAACTATTCGAGGTGCAGGTATTGCTTTCTTTGAACTGTACCAGATTCCTGGCTTTGATAGTATCCTGTGTTGTGGGTTTGCTCTCCTTAATCCCTTCTGATTAACCGTAACGCTGTTTCTGACCGTGGGAGCTTTGCTGCCTTCAGTGTGAATCCTGAGTTACGGGACGGATCCATTTTCTGCCCTCTGACACGGCAGCGTCTCCCTCAAAGGGCTCCTTGGACCAGAGGGGAGGCTTTGCACTGGGGCTGGGGAAAGCAGCGCTGGCAGAAGGGACCAGGCCCACAGCGCGTCCCCTGCCTGCCGCGGGGCTGCATCTCCTGGCCCTGCTCCTGAGCAGCAGGGCCCCAGCCTGCACCCCGGCTTTCTGGGGGGGCTGCGGCATGGCCGGGTGGATAGCGAGGGGACCGCGGGGCCGGGGGCTTCACTTCCCGGGTCTGGTCCCCCTGGGAGGGACAGGAAGGGGAAGGGAGACACAGCGCTGGGTCCTGGAGGGTGGAAAAGACCACAGAAAATGGTTTGAGTCTGGGGAAAAGATCTTTCAGCACTCCCAAATGCTGACACTTGGTAGGGAAAAGGAGCCAATAAGTGAAAAATTGTATGTACTGTGCTTCCTTCAAAGCTTTTGGAACAGGAAGCAATTAGTTTAATGTTTAGTTCTAATTGACTCGTCCGTTAATTTGCACTAATAGTAAATGCATGCGCTTGGCTTGTTAACACTGAAAGCACATTGCTGAAAAAAAGGGAAATCATGAAAATCAGAGTCAGGCAAGCTTTGTTCTGCCATCCATCCTCAGAGCACAGACTGGAAATACTGACTCGGGCAGCACTCGAGCAAAGAAACCATTGCAGGATGCCTGCCTGGGCACGCACACCTCCTCCAGCAGGGCCCAGGCTGCGGGTCTCTGGGGAAGAAAACCTGCAGGGTCACGGGAGGGCTCGGCCGCATCCGCGAGACTCGGAGACACTCCCAGTGTCAAACCAGGATGAGGAGCACGGCTGGAGAGCTTTAGGAGTGACCAGAAAATGTAAAGGACTCGTGCAGCCTGTGAGAGCAGGGCTCCTAGAAGGGGAACGCAAACGTCCGGGAAGATGAGAGAGTGGTTGCACAACGAAATAAGGCCAAACATAAAAGGCACCAAGAACGAGTTATGGAAATGTATTAAAAATAAGAGAAACTCTGAAATGAAATGCAAACCTATTACTACTGGGAAATGGTGAACAAGCAATGGGGTAGTCTGGAATGTTCTTTCTCCAGCAAGAAAAAGGATGATCAGATACCCTGAGAAATTAATTTTAATGAGACAGGAGTGTGGGCCTGACTAGAGGACTGAAACCTGGCTGGAACAGAGGTGTTTGTGACATGAGGGCTTGCAGAAACTCACCCCTGAGTGCGTGAAGAAAGGGTCAGGTACCCTCTGAGCAATTAGTGCTTGTCCGCAAGAGCTCCTGGAAGGCAGAACTGCTCCCGCAGGACAGGAATAAAGTTTCTGAAGCTGTGTGTGGCCACGACCCCTGCCTCCAGACATGCCCATGCAGAGCTGAAGTTTTGTTATAGGAAAACTCATCTCCCTGGGTGCAGCAGAATATTTCTGGCATTGCTAGAAATACCAGCAGCAGTGCACCTGGTGGGCAGGGTTGGCGCTTTCGTGGCCCTGCCACAAGTGCCGATTTGTCTGGCAAATAGCGCACGGGGGTCTCCTGGCTGTGCAGGGCAGGCGGGATGCTGCGGCCAGCGCTGGGGCACGGGCTGCTGGCTCCCATGGTGGGGGGCCCAGCCACAGCTCCCGGCTGGGGAGGACGAGCAGGTCTGGTGCTCTCAGGCTGGGCAGACGCCAATGGAAACGGCCCTGGCTTGCAGCTCGGTGCCGGGAGGCTGCGGGGGAAGCGAGCGCAGCCGGCGGCAGAGCCCCTGGCAGCAGCAGCGGAGCCTCCCAAACCCGTCCCGGGAGAAGGGCCCGCGGCACTCCCAGCTCGCCACCACAGCCCCGAGGTTCCTCGTCCCTGCTGCTTCCCCCGGCTGGGAGCCTGTGGCCTGGGCACCCCGTGGCTGTGCCCTCTGGGACATTCCCAGAGTGGCGTGAGGCGTAACGGGCTGGGCTTTCTTCCTCTGGCCACGGTCACAGCCTTCCCTTCTTTACCTCTTCTTTCACCTTCCTCTCACTTCCATGCCCTTTCAAATCTCACTGCTCCTTCTGCTTTCCAGCATCCCTCTAAGTCTCGTTTTTTCTCCCAGCTGTGTCCTGGAGCTTGTAATGATGAATTGGCAGAATCTCACCCGCCGCTTTGTAGAGCAGAGCATGTATTCGCTCACTGAAACTTGTTGCAAAACATGTGGATGCAAAATTTCACTAATATTAATGGTTATATGCTTCTTTAGCATCCAAAAAAATATTCAGAATCTTGGTCTTTTGGGACTTCTTAGTCGTTTTGCACACTCACAAGGTGAGGTCGGTGTGTCCATTCATGGCCACCTCGCCAGGAATCCTTACAAGGCTGGTAAGCCCACGGGGCGGGTGCACCCCGTGGCTGTTCCCCACCCAGTGAATTTGAGGCTGGTGGGGGAGAAAGGGTTTTCTGACCATTCTTGGTATTTGGCACTGGCTGTGCTAGGCAGCCATCCAATACATCTGAGTTTCCCTCCGTACAAAACAAAGACGCAAATTAAAAATATGCACATGTGTGTGTAAAGAAGCGATTCAAAGCATCCCTTCATAGCTGGGAGAAATGTGCACTATAATTATCTTAAATGAGCTAGTTACAACGTCCTCGTTATTGACAGAGGGTTAACGTGAGAGCACACCCTCACAGCACTGGTATCGAAAAAAGAGCAGTGTACGGGGCTGCGGGGTGGGGGTCACCGGGGGACTGGCAACTCACGGTGCCAGGGGTGAGGAAGGGGAGCTCCCAGCACAGCGCTCACCCCGTGCACCCCGTTGGTGGTGCCAGGCAATGAGGCTGTGCCGGTGGCAGTGCCTGTGTCCGAGCAGGACAGCGGTGCTGGGCAGCAGGCTCACCCCGAGCGGCCGCGGCACTGAGCTCAGCGCTTCCCGGCAGCTCTGCCTGCTGCAGGAGGGTTGGCATCCGTGCCGTGCAGAGGCAGCGACATTCCCACGGCCCCACCATTCCCTAACACCTTACAGACTCCTTGAGAGGAGAGATTTATTCTAGGATAGTGCAAATCATTGCCAGGAAGAGAAGAAATCCACTCCTGGATGTTTTCCAGCTTGGTTTCTCTCCCAGTAGACACTTTGGATTCTGTGTGGAAGTGCTTTGGGGTTGTTTTTCATTTGAGGCTCTAACGCCTCGGGGCTGTTGGAGTGTTTGGTGCTGTGCGGGGCGGGGGGCACATAAGGAGCTGCACCCCTGGGGCTCACCCAGCGGGGCGATGCGAGGCAGCGCCCTGCCTGCCCCTGACGCCCTCGTGCTGGCTCCGTGCCTGTGTGCCGGGAGCCCGAGTCTGAGCCGGGACTGGGACCCGTGGTGCTGCTGCACGCCGAGCTGCAGGCACCCACCACCCACAGCAGGCTCCAAAGGGCATGGCGGCCTTTGGTAACTGAAAAATAGTCATTAAAATCTGCATCCATTTGATGGCTAGATTTCTGCAAGCCTCCTTTAACGTCCTGCCAGGGACTGCCAGCCTTTCAGCTGGGATGAATGAGCCCTGCCTCGTTTCCTTTGTGTGATCAGTGCAGTTTTTAGGGCTCTTTAGGATCCAGTTGGATGAAAAGAGCTATTTGAATGTAAATTAATTGCCATTACAATTCTGTTTTTCTGCTTTTCAGCAGAGGAGATAACTCCAGCCTTGTCACATAGAACAAAACCATCAAAAGCGAACTTGTCATTTCAATCTCCTCATGTAATTATGTTCTGAGGCTTCAGACAGTTGGGTAGTTTCGGCATTCCTTCTCCCCGAGGAGGACGGCTCGCATCTTCCAGGTGCCAGCAGGCTGCTCGTGCAGGCGGAGCAGCTGGGGGGGCGCGGGACGGGCTGTGGCCAGGGGCTGGGGGCGAGCACATGGACACGGCCGGGTATGGAAAGCATTGTCTGCAGCTGCGGGTGCTGCTGGGTGTGTTCACTGGCTGGGGAGATGAACCCTGACGAGGCGGCAGGCACTGGGCACTGGCGCAGCCCCGTGGGGCGATGGCAGCGGGGGGAGCGCTCGCGGCCTGCTCACCACTGGGCTCAGCATGGGAGCCGTGCTGAGACCTCCTGAGGCCGCTTCTGAACTTTGCCTGTTGTTATTCTGACTGTGTAACGCAGGAGGGGGGGAGTGGGAAACGGGGAAAATGGTTAAAGAAAGTGCAGAGCAGCTTTTACCACAAGAAGCTGAGAGGATTCTGCACCCAGCAGCTGCCTGACTCAGTGCCGACGCGCACCCACCCCTGAGGTGGAGCTCAGCGGCTGCTTGCAGGAGCTTCCCAGCGGCTGAGAGGAGCACAGTGCCATATTAGGCCTCACCTGGCCCGCGTGAAACCGCAGGAGAGACTCTAGGCAGGCAGAACGAGTGCCAAGATGCAAGCAGTGCAGGCGTTACGCCAGGGCTTGGCTTCGTTTCGGGGATGTGCTCTCCTGGGCGCAGGTGGAGCTGCACAGGGGAGGACGGGGGGATCAGGTGGGGGAACAGGGGAGTACTGGGGACATGAGGGGGGCACAGCGTGAGCACGGCCGGGCACCCAGTGCGGGGCTGTGGCTGCAGCACCCGCACCGAGCCCCCCGCCTCCTCCCCGCCGGCGGCTGCTATCAGATGGCCGTGTCTCTGCTGCAGTCAGCACTCTGGGATAGTGGCTACCTTGTGTGTCACGGCTTTTAGCCGCATGGAAAACAAAATGTGTCAGCCCTCAGCATGCCTGGTCATGATTCCTCGGGACCTTGCTTCTCAGCCGTGGCCGTGTGCCACGAGGGAGGAAACCTGGGCACTGCTCCTCTCCGCTTTCTGCCCTTGGTGTTCCTGCCGGCTGTGCCGCCTCCCTTTGCCGGGAAGGGGAAATCGTGCTGCCGCCCCAGCTCCCAGTGCCGCCGCTCTGGGGCAGCGCCGGGGGGCAGTGGGGAGGCCGGAGGGGGCGGCCCCTGCTCCCTGCCCCCTGCTCTGCTCAGCAGGGCTGCTGAAGGCCAATAGCTCTGTGCCAAATCCTCGCTGTTGATGAAGCCTGCCAGGGCCCTGCACTTTCTTTTTGCCCTTGCTACGTTGCATAGTAGGCATTTTGATGGTAAATTAATGACCACCATCAGCTCCACGATGTGCTGGGCCTTGCCTGACCCAGGGGCCAGGACTGGAGAGGTCACTGTCCTCATGGCCTTGGCTGTGCTCACTCTCGCCCAGAGCTGGACCTGGAAGCAGGAGCCCTTCTGCACTTACATCTCCCGAAGGAGGCTGACTGACTCTGGAACCGAGTTATGCAAGAACCAAGCAGATGTGGTTTCCCAGCTTGCTCTCCCTTCTCTGCAAAGCCAGCAGGAACGTCTGTGCCCATCAGTTGTTCAGGACCCAAAGGAAACCCTTGCAAAGGGATCCAATTTCCAAAGGACAGGTGTTTGTCTCTTAAGAACAGTGCCTAAACTGCATTGCCCATCCTGGCACCCAAACAAGAGGGAGATTCCCTGAGCTAAGAGTAAAAGGCTAGGCTCAAATATCCACTCACAGGGTCCTAAGGAAAAAGTTTTAAGAACAAAGACTATGATTCTTTATTCAGCTGCACAGCGGAATTCTGATGCTCAGTGGAGTTTGAGTACCTGGCAATTAGTAACAGCACAGCAAGGGCCTGTGTTTAAGGGCAAGCGCTGCAGCTTCCCCTGTGAGAAGGGCAGAGGAGATGTAAGGGAGAGGAGGGGAGGCTCCGACTGCAGCAGGGCATCGGCGTCCTCCCTGCCGGCAGTGAGCCCCCGGGGCTGCCTCCGAGCTTTGCCCCGGCAGAGCCACGCAAGAGCTTTTCTGTCCCTGCACCCCCAGCCATGGCGGGGAGCAGCACCAGGCAGGTGCCACGCGGCAGGGCCCAGGGATGTGCCGGCCACGGGTGGGGAAGCTCGGCGAGAAGAAGGGGAGCCTCAGACTTTCAGCCTCCTCGCTGACCACGGCGCTTAATAGGTGAACGCGCTACCCTGCAGAAATCCTGTTATTCTATTCCTGACTTGCCAGCTGAGGCTGACTCATTGCCTTGGTAACAAATTAAAACACTTTCATGTGTTAGCTCAGCGCCCAGTTTTGTGGAACCAGGGAAACTTGCTCCTGCTGCGGGCCCCAGCACCCTGCGCGGAGCAGCCCGGGAGCGCCCCGGCCCCGCTGCGGCCACAGACCCCGGTGGGAGCTGCGCGGAGCCGCCCGCATGGGCTGAGCCGCCTGCCCCTTCCCATCCCCTGGCCCTGGGGCTGGCATCCTGCACGGGGACCCCTGACCAGGAGGACGAGTGGCTCCGCACCGCCCTGTGTAACACCGGCTCTGCTCGTAGCCACCTGCTTCTGGGTGGCCAAATGCACCGCTGTGGAACGCACCTCGGTGGGGTGCGAGTTGTCAGGCGATCGATACTGGGGCGGCTTCACTCTCTTCGATAGATACGGGATGTTGAAACTGCATGCAAAGGAGGGAGAAGCCATACGACGGGGTGTGCGTACGAGGCCAAGCAGGGGACAGTCCCTCAGGTTGCCCTGATGGAGGCAGCTGGAGGAGAACTGGGGCAAATCCATCCTCCCAGAGGGTGGCAGGACCCCACAGTGTGCAGCAAAATGCAGCACCTTGATTTCCAGGGGAAGAGGCAGCCAGGGTAGGTGGCTGCCAGGCACGGGGATGTCCCGCAGCCGGAGGGCAGCCTGCACCACCCTGAGGTGGAGCCGATGGGATGTGCAGAGCTCCCCTGACTGCAAGGCCCGTCCGGCTCCTGCCCAGTGCCGCCCGACCCTGACATGTCTCAGTCCTGCGATGGCGCAGGAACCGGCTTTTGTTTTCCTTAGGGAAGTTGCTCAGTGATCGGGGTCAGAAAACGTTTGCTCCTGCTGGGTGCAAGCATGAAGGTTGCTTTGAATGAGGTTTTGAAAAGAGCCAGCAATCCAAATCCTGTCTGTCAAATTCAGAAAGGAGCTGGAGATGTTTCTGGAGGAGCAGAAAATACCAAGGCGCAGGCACTAAATATAGACGCCCATGTGAAGGTGGCGATGTTGGAGTGTGGTGTATTTTTATCCCGATAGAGGTGTTATCTGTCTATCTCCATGAAGTGCTGGAGGGGGCTGTTGCAGCACTCGGTTCATGCAAAGAGAGAACAGCCAAAGTCACAGGTAAAGAGGCACGGTCTGTTTCCACGGGCAAGCCGTCCCTCTCGCAACCCTTCTCCTCCGTCCCATTTGGCCTCGTGTTTGGTGCAGGACAGAGCCCACTGCCCCTGCAGCTGCTGGGTGCCTGCCCTAGCTCTGTGCACTGCAGCACAGCGTCCTCATCCCTGGCAGCGCCAGGGCCGTGCTGGGCTGCAGCCCGCTGGGACGGACGCTTCGGCAGAGCAGGAACCGCATCTCGCACACGCCAGGGGCGGCTCCTCAGAGTTCAAAGGATTCAGCGTAAATTATTTACGCATTCACCTCCCAGCAAATCCTTTCATTTCTGAGTTCCAGACAGTTTATTACGTGGAGATCCTGAAAATCCTAAGTCTTGGCCTCTTGGCATAGACGTTAAAGATCTTAAGCCTGGCCAGACGTCCCCGGAGCAGCTTCCCAGGCCGTGCTCACCGGCCACATGCACAGAGCTGGAGTGCGCCCAGCCTGCGTTGGGACTCGGGAGGCACATTCAGAAGGGCCGTCAGTGTCACCCAGTGAGAGAGAGTTTGGGGTGGGCTGCAACTGAAATATTCCCTGTCCTCTGAGGGCTTCGGCTCCTTGGGGCTCCTGCCTGCATCTGGCATGGCGTGTTGATTGTGCGGCAGCTCTGCTGGGGACTGCTCGCACTTCACGCAGAATGTTGTGAATTCTTGGCTTGCTGTGTGACGAGGGGATTTATTTTGTTAATTATTTATTTTTGTGTTGGCTTCATGGACTCTTGTGAGGCTGAAGAGCAACAAGCTGTCAAGAAAACACCTCTGAGAGGAGAAACTTCAGTCTAACTTGTGATTTCTCAGCTCCATGGAGTAATTCAGTTTATTTATAGAAGGTCTTTTTGTAAAAGCAAAGCATGTCCTGTATCCTGCTTTTGATGGCATATCTGGCTGCAGTGCGGCATGGTGCACATTAATTTTGCTTTGTAGCATGAAGTGGTGTGCAGTATTGGCAGTAATTAGCAGTCTGTGCGGACTGGGGCAGTCTTTCTTTGGAGACCACACCACCTTCCAGTGCATTGCAGACGAACGCCACATTTGGGGTCACCCAGGAAGCAGCTGCGGTGGGGCAGCTGTGCTGGAGCAGGGCTGCAGGAGCTCCGTGCCCCTTGGGGTGAAGCCGGTCTTGTCTGCTGACACGAAGGCCAGACCAGTGCCAGTGCTACCCAAAACCCAGCAACAACCTCAGTGCGCCCTGAAATGCTGCTTGGTTATGTGCACACAAGCAAAAAAAATGCCTTTTAGGGCCACGTGCATCCCTCAGCGTGATGGTGCCACCTCCCCCCGTGCCAGCCCAGGGACAGGACAGGGACGGGCACAGGACGGGCACGCGCTGCCTGCGGGGTGGTGGGGACAGGCAAGCACCGGTCACGTTCCTGGGGCTCTTAGCGTCTGGGTGCCAGTGAGGCTGCAATCAAGATGCTCACGAGCTATCTCTGCATCTGACCAGCTGGTTTTACTACTCATCGTTTTCCCCTGGTTTGGGCTTTTTGAACTCGGGTCATTTCAAGAGTATTATCAAATCCTTGAAGATGCAGAGATGAGAAAGCTAAAATCAGCTCAGAAGTTTGAACTTTTCCACAAAAGAGATCTAAAAATAATCTTAAAACCAGATTTCTGTTTTGGAAGATGTCTTTGTGCTTGCTAAATAATAATAATAATAATAATGATAGTAGGAGTAGTAGTAATAATAATAATAACAGTAGTAGTAGTAGCAGCAGTACAATGGTCTTAAATAAGCCCGTGGAGAGATGCTGATCTCGGAGGGACCTTGTAAAGGGTCCTTTCCTGCTCACTAAAGTCTTCAAGTGTTTTGTGAGCATCCACTGGTGCCAGCTGGCCGCGGGGCTGGGCAGTGCTGGTGGCAGGAGCCAGCGCTGCTGCCGCTGCTCCTCCGACGGGAGGTGAGGCTCCAGTCCCGGTGCCCACGCTGCTCATGGGAGCCACGACCACAGACCGCCTCCCAGCCTCTTGTGCTGACAATCTGGCACTGTTTGGTTCTATAAAAGCCAGCTGCCACAGAAGTGTCTGCTCTGAAGTTCAAGTTGCTGGAGGCCTCTGCGTATCCAAATTGCTTCAGCGATGTAACTCATCACTCGTTCCTGGTGTTTGTGCGCTCAATGCTGCAAGCAGACAAGCCGTCCTTACTGCGCCTGGCCTCCTTGCAGCACAGGCACTTGCAGCGGTCCCTGCTGCTGCAGGGGAAGAGCTGCTGGTGCCGGGTGTCAGCCCCACAAATGCTGTGTGTGCACTCCTGCCCCCTCGGGCAGCTGTAGTGGCACAGCCCTGGCAGTGTGTGTTTGGAATCACCAGAATCCAAACGTGACTAATGGTCGCGTTCTTCACCTCACAGTTGAGGTTTTCAAAGTATTTTCTAATTAATTAACTCATTAAGTCCAAGAGCATTCCAGTGTGCTGTGTTTTACACCCCTTCATCAGAGGGCACGGGGAGCCAGGGCCAGCCGGTGCCATTCGGCAGCGCCGTGCGGTGCCGGCCCTGCTGAGCACCACGGCCGGGCTCAGCTTTGGCGGAAACACTTTGGGAGCTGCCAGTGGGAGAGCTGCCACGGTGCAGCACCAGCAGCAAGTTTCTACCTGTCCTGAGAGCTAGTATGGAAATGCAAAAGGGGCGAGAGAGAAGAAAAATGAATATGAATATGTTTGCTGGGGAGCGCCGCTCACTGCCAGGGATCGGGCTGCCCCTCTGCGCTGAGGCACGAATTCTTGGTACGGAGGAGCACGGGGCAGAAGTGGGGGACACCTGTGGGGCTGCCCTGCCCGCCGGTGGGCACACACAGACACGTGGCCACAGCCGAGGCAGCAGCCGTGGTGCTCCCGCATGCCAGAGCCGCTGCTCCTCGCCCGACTGCTGCGATGTGCCCCAGGGTAGGGCACTGGGCACCGCGGCACAGGAATCGTGTCTGCTGCCCGTGGTGAACGGACTCACTGCACGTCTCAGGGCCACACCTGCCACGTTTTCCAGTGGGAAAACCTGGGCACGAGCTCCAGAGATGGGTCTGGCTGCCGTGTGTGCCACGTTCAGGATGAGCTATCAGTGCTCCAGAGCCTCCCTGCGGTGCACGCAGCAGCTCAGGCCCACACGACGCACGGTGCCCACTGCAGCCATACAGCCTCGCGCACAAGGATACGCCTTCACAACACGCTGGGCAGAAAACCTGCTACGGGTCTGCCCCTGAGTTTGTGTCTGCAGTTCTGAGGAGTGCCCTCAGGTTTATCAGCCAATCGAGTCAAGCTTGTGAATGTTACGGAAAGCTTCCAGGGGTATTGTACAGAACAGTGCAGGTGAAAGAAATGGAAATCCAGGAATATAGCACAGGAACGGTGAGGCCACGAGTCAGTCTGCTCTCAAAATGCAAGCTGAGCCAGGCTCCTTACCAGGTCTCATACCACATCCTAATTATTTCAGGAAAGCTTTTGTACTGTTAGAGAAAATTACAGAAACAACTTACAATTTTAAAATTAGCCTAGGAAATCATCACTAGATGAAGCTGAGTTTAATTTTTTTCCTTAGTGAACCTCAAAGTGTTTTACCAGGGATATAAACATCATTATGCCCACTCCTTCCTTTTTAAAGCCTGGGGAAACTGAGGCGCAGATGAGAAACACCTTTCTCCACCTCTAATAGCCTTGCAATCAGCTGATTTAATTGCTATCACTCAAAAATCAGTGAATTGCCTGAAAGTTAAAGCATATGAAATGCCCTCCAAATGTCAGAAGCACCTGAAAACTCCAGAGAAAAACAGCTGCTGTGAAGTTTTTGTAAGGAGACAGGCAAGCTGTCTTTATCTAAGCCTGGGATTCGGTGCAATTACTGTTGTGATGAGCTCCAAATAGTCAAATATCACAAGGAAACAGCAGCCAGATTTGCAAACAAAAGGACAATCTCTCTTACTTCAAACATCAGCATGTATGCATAGCAGCAGTGCTAGCATGGAAGTTTCATAGCTCTTGGCACAGAGGAACAGATCTGTATGCCCACGGCAAAGTGGAGAATGTGGCTGGTGCTTACCCCATCCATGTGGATCCTGGGGCTGGTCGCCAGCCGGTGCTGGTGGAGCTGCAGACCCCGCGGCAGCCTCCGGATGGAGGCGGGGGAGGACAGGAGCCCCGACCTCTGCATTGAGCCGAACCGGGGAACATTCTGTCCGTATCTGACTCCGTCCAGCAGGCGAATGAGCAGCAGGTTGGACGGGAGCTGCTCGATGCCACAGAGGACGAGCGTCCTGCACTCAGGGCACCGGAGCTCCTTCTGGGATTTCAGGATCCTCTGCAGACAGGGCTTGCAGAAAGTGTGCTGGCACGGCAGCACCTTTGCTGTGGCGTCGAGCTTTTCAAAGCACACTGGGCACTCCAACAGGTCGAGCAGAGCCAAATCATCCATCTTCAGCACGGGGCTCCCGTCACGGGCTGCGCCGGGGACATCCACATGACACGGGCAGCCGACACGACGCCTTTGCGCACCCGCGAGACCGGCGCCGAAACCCTGGGCTCAGGCAGCTACCCTGCACGGAGAGGAGGGGAGGAGGAAAAAAGAGCAGAGCTCGACTGCCGGAGTATGTAATACATCCCACCTACATCGCAAGGCAGTGCCTCACGAGCCAATTTGCAAATGCATGCTTTGCGCTCCCTTCCAAGCCCCAAGTGAGTCATCCGTGATTCAGGAGCGCGAGGGGGCCGTGCCCAGGCGGGTGCCAGCGGCCGGGGAGCCCCACGGGGGGCCAGGGGCTGCGGCGAGGCCGAAGGCTCCTGTGCTGGGCAGGGTGGCTGGGGCAGGCCAGGGTGCCATCCTTCCCGCTCACACTCCAGCAAAGTTTTCTCAAACGCTGCCTGCTCTGTGGGTCATAACCGGCAGCACCGCACGGGTGCCACCAGCCCAGCGATGCGAGCCCCATTAAACATCGCCTTGAACCTGCTTTCTCTCGGCTCTGGCTCAAAGCAGCCGCCGGCTGCCCGCAGCCCCTCACACACCTACACACTGCCTTGTTTGCAAGATCAGTCCTAATTAAGCTTTCTATCTACTGGTTTTGACAGCAGTTCTATAAAAAGCCCTCCAAACGCAAATATAATCCTGCTTTACCTTGGAAAGACGCGGGGAGCTGCCGTGACACCCGCGCCCAGCCGGGCTGCCTGGGCTCTCCCTGCAGCCCGGGACGATTACTGCTCCCAATTCCGCCCCCAGCCTGAAGTCACTCAACCCGTTCGGCTCCTTCGGGGCTGCGCCGATCTTCACTCAAGCAGGCGGCTGTGGGTTCAAGTCACGGCTTGTGGGAGCAGCGCATCTCCCGAGCACCCCTGGGCTGGAGCAGATGCTGCAGCCAGCAGCGCCGTGACACTCGTGCGCCCCTCGGCCTGCCCTGGGTGCGTGCTGTGGGATGGCTCCGGCTGCGCTCCGGCTCCTTGCTCTGCTGCCCTACAACAGCGAGCGGCGGGTGGAGCAAAGATCCGAGAGATTCGCCTTTACCATCTCTTCCATACCTCAGCTGTGTGTTTGCAAACTATGAATTAGAGGAAAGGATTGTAAATCTAGAGTTACTTCAGCCTGGTCCTTCTGCAGACAATGCACAGGACACCCTTCATGAAGGAGTACTTCAGCAGGCGCTGTTAACATGGTTCTTTTAAAAGTTTTCCCTGATGATCATGATTTTGTCAAAGCAAAGTTTTCCCTCTCCTGCTCTCTCTCTCTCTTTATTTATTTATTTTTTTTTTTAATGGTGGCCATTTGGCTAAATTAAAACGTTGATGAACATCTTCAGGATAATGCAAAAAAAACACAATTACTTCACTCTGTTTCATCTCAGGTTTCCATCTACTTTGGTATTTCTTTGTAGCCTGTCATGTGTTGATTCATGCTTGGCTGACTGAGTGCACCATTTTTAATGAATGACGTTGAAAACATCTAATCGACTGGCGTTATAAAATGCAGCGTGTGACATCAACTACATTGAAAACAGTTTTTGAAGTTCTTTCCTTTTTTACATATTCTTCCCTATTTCTGTTCTGTGGTTAATACCTACACGCTGCATTTTCATCTGCTTAGAAATGGAAGACAATTGTGAAATACCTTGCAGCTAGGAAATGGTGGGAGATGAAGCTGCCCAGCTGATTTTGTGCATGCTAGCTAATGATAATCTTTCATCGAATTTGTTTGTGAGTCCTTTTGCAATTTTTCTTACACTTTTGGTAAGGCCCAACCTAGTCTGGTTGTGCTGTCCAAACAATGGGTGGGGTTGAAAATCTGCCTGAGAGGACACTGCTTCATGGGGCAGTTCTCTAGAAAGGCAGATTTCCGTGGAAATCCCTGGTGCTGTGCAGCGGGGGCAGGCACGCTGCTGCCCCGTGTCCCAGCCGGTTCCAGCCGTGCTCCAAACACTAATTCATCTGTGGAACGCCCCTTGGGCTGTCACCCCCACCTCGTATGGAACTGTTCAGGGGATGAGGCCACTCCGCAAATCAGTGCCCGAGCGGGACCAGGCTGTGAGGCTGGTTCTGCACCCGGTGCTCAGACCGTCCCACCGAGCTCCACTGCCTGCCGCTGCCTCTCCCTGGCGGTGCGTCTCGTAACTGGGGCTGAAACACAAAGGCAGAGCTAGAAAGCTGCCAGGGCTTCCCTTTCATTTCAGCCGTCTGCGCTTGATGCCGATGCTGTAATTAGCTCAGGGCTGGATGCGGCGGGCGCTGCTCCCCCGCGGTGACACTGAGACGTCCCAGCGTGGTTGCCCCCAGCCCCAGCCCCCATGGGGTGCCCTCGGCCCCAGGCTGCCCGTGGGGCTGTGCTGGAGGGCGGCAGGGCAGGGCAGGGCACGCTGCCCTGGCTGAGGTGGTGGATGGTGCCGCTGGGAGCTGGGAAGCAGCATTCCGGGCAGAAACAGCCGCTCCGCTCTGGTTCAGCGCCCGTGCCTGTGCCTGCAGGGAGCAGCGTCCTCTGGCCTGGCCCCATCTCCAAAGCTGTCTCAGGAAGCGGCTCGGAGGAATCCCGGACAGCAAGCACGCTTTGGCACCTCAGCTGGAGGCAGCCCCATGCCCAGAGAGGGGTTCTGTCCACCCAGGTCAGCTGCCACAAGGAGCAGCTCTCGGTGTTTTCTCAGGGCTGCCCAGGCGGAGCCCCGCGTCCCGGCGCATCGCTCCTGACCTCCCCGTGCAGGGTCCCCGGAGCCCACCCGGCGCTGACCTGCCTGCAGCCCCACCCCGCTGCTAAAACATTCTGCCTGCCAGCTTCCAGCGCACGATTGCACCACTGCAAATAGTATTTCCTTTTACCAGTTTTGAATTTCACACATTTTAACATCGCTATTTCCAGTTCTTGTGATTATGAGACACTAAGGTATAAATAAGCTTTGCATTTAATGCCTTTAGATCACAAAGAACTCCATGCAGCTAGATGTAATTGCTGCCTTTTATGGAGGGGGGAAACCAGAGGTGCGGTGGCTTCGCAAGGTCATAAAAGCGACCAGCGGCAGCCAAGAAGGGGCCCAACATCAAATAACTGCTGTGATCAGCCTTGCCTCACGCACGACCTGGCATATTGTGAGGCATCCTTATAACATTGAAATGAATTTCCTCTTCCTACGGCTGCCTGGGCAGGGTTAACAGAAGACCAGGCACTGCTGTAGGAAATGGGAACCTCCTCGCCTCTCACCTCATGCCTATCCTACAGTTTCTGTGTTGAAGGGTGAGGAACCTGTGGAAATCCAATACCATGGCAAAGTGAACATACAGCTGGTTCACACAGCCCCGCTAACTTTTAAGCTGATTGCTGTGCCAAACAAGAGCTTCCTTCGGACCTCGCCATGCCCTGCTGCCTTCCCGTGCTCCGGCTGACCCCGTGAGGGCACAGGCACATCCCTGCGTGGCTCCTCGTGCAGGGCTGCCTGCGGGGGCTCCAGGGCACATGGAGCAGCTCTGCTTCCCGCATCCCTCATGCTCACCGCTTGAAATAACAACGCTGAACGGTGTGAGCGGGTGGAAGGAGCTTCCCCCAGCAGCCCTTACAGCCTGTGTTTCGGGGTCCTCCTCCTCGCCTGCGTGCTCTGTCCCTCCAGGCGACCTGCTGGGTGGCTGGGGACCAGCCCCGCACCCGGGGACCCCAGGACGGGCACGGGGCTGTTACGTGGCTGCTGCAGCCACAGCCTGCATGCGAGGAGCCGGAGCTGGCAGAGGGCAAGGGCTCGGCAGCACCTCACCAGGAGCCTATAAAAAGCCTTCTGTCACACTGCTTATCGCGAGTGGGTGCCACACGCCTCCTCCTCCGGGGAAATAAGGGACCTCTCGTGCTTTTTTTAGATCCTGGAGGGCAGGGAGAGGGGGTGCCACTCACACGCTGCTACAAATTATAGATCTGATGCTAACAGCTTGTCCTCCTACCACCCACCACCCAAGCATGCTGAGCGGCTGTGGTGGCTGCGAGGGGAGGCGAGTGGAGCCCCCGCTGCCCCCTGCCCGGGGCAGGGACGGGGGAGCCTGCCCCAGGCACTGCCCTGCTCACGCGGCTGCGCCCCGTCCGTGGGCAGCGGCACCGGGGCTGCGGTGTGGCTGCCGCACGGGCAGTCCTGTGCTGATGGAGAGAAGCTGCTGCACATTTAGCAATTAGACATAACGAGGCAGCGTGGATCTGCAGGATCTGTGCAGCGTGGGGCCCTGCAGCGAGCAGAGCAGAGGCCACCCCGAGGTTTTCCATGCCCCTGTGCCATCCGCCTGTGCTGCAGTGCCACCGAGGCAGCGCGGGGACACGGGGTGCTGCTGCCCACACGGTGACATGGGAAGTGCTCGGCCAGGTGTGCCACAGCGGATGGAGGGGCACCAAGCACCGAGGAGCCGCCTGCACCGGACAAGAAGAGTGTTTTGGAGCGCTGGTCATTGATCTTAGGGCAAGTCAAATGATGCCGTTTGTACCTAGTGGCCTTTAACAGGCTTGCTGCTGGGTAACATGAAGCCTTCAGCCCATCCAAAAGGAGCTGGAGCAGAGTGGTGCCTATCTAGAAAGAGAGAAGTATTTTTAAACGAAGCTCAGATGCTGATTTTCCTCAGGATAGCCTGCTACACACCCGCTGAACTGGTGTTAGCAGCAGCACGGGCACCGTCCCACGCCCCTAGCCCCCCGCAGCCAGTTCCCCACACGGGGCCGAGGGCAGGGCTGGGCTGGCTCAGGGCTGTGGTCCTTTCCCTGCAGTGCACTGAAGGACCACAAAATGTGCAGCACTAAATCCTCCTTCACTGGGATTTGCCCAATAAGGGCTAAATCTGCAGGGATGCAATTTCCATTTTTTAAGACAAGAAGAAATAAATGTTCTCGAGTAGCAATAGACCCGAGCACCAGCCTAGCAGGCCTTTGAACATTGCTGTGAGTACTTCTCAGCTGCTCTTCACACAGGTCTGACCACAGAAAATGTCAGGCTTCAGTTACCTCATTAAACACAGATGCAAATAGCAACGCTACTTGCAAGGATACATCTCCCTTTAGTGTTCCCAGGTGCTCCTGGCCAGCAGGAAGGCAGTGACTGCCGCAGCCCAGCCAGGGAGGCAAGCTGGGTTATAAATGCACAGCGAGCACCAGTGCTGGGTGTGGAGTGTGGGGGTGAGGCTTTAGCAGCCTGTGCAGAAATAAATCTGCAGAAAATGTGTTTGTGCCTTGCTGAATTAAGGAGCAACCAGTCCAGCTATTTGCTGCCTCTTCGCTGGGTCTGTGGCTGGGGGCTGGCAGCAGGGCTCTGCTTTCCTAACAGCCCCTGCCCGAGCAGTGCTGCCTGGGGGAGGTTTGGGGAGTGGGAGCTGAGCGTGGCGGGGTCTGGGGAGCAGGGCTGCTCTGTGGGGTGCTCTGGTGTCTGTGCTGGGAGCGCCCAGGGCTGTGCCGCAGTCCTGCTGCAGGCTGGTGGTGGCTGTGTGCTCGCCTCCCATGCGAGGTGGTGATAGCGCAGGAGCTGTGGCTCCGTGTCACCACCTTTCTGGGAATGCTCACAGGGAAGTAACGTGTTCTGTTGGTCGTTGTGTGCACTTTTTTTTTTTTTTTTTTTTTTTTTTTTTTCCTGAGCTCTGGTTTCATGCAGATCAGTTCACGCTGCTCCCAGGAGGCAGCCTAGGGAGGTTTGCTTCTCAAGGTAGAACTCAAGCCCTGGGAATTTCCCTCTTTGAAGCACTTTTTTTCCTGGTTTTTGTTTCCTTGTGACTTCAGGATTTTTATGCTTACTCAGGACTCTTCCCTCACCTGCCCATGCAGTCTCTCGGGCTGAGGTGGGTGCTCAGCGAGCTGACTTTCATCCGGAGCCTGCACCGCTCCTGGAGGTGCCAGGCATCCTCCGCTCCCGTTGACTTCAGCCCGCAGGAATGCGTGGCAGGCCCTGCCTTGCACGTCAGCCAGGAAGCGGCCAGCCAAATGAGACGTTCCTGGCTTGTTTTCCTAGAAAAATGGAGCCTTGTGGATTGGCGGTGGATGAGAATGTGGGTATGTGTGGCTGTGCCTGTCTGTGCACCCCCGCACCTTGTGAAGCCAGTTTGGTGGGGAGGAAAAGCACCCAGAATTTTAAATATCCAGAAACTTTTATGAAAATGGGAGGCTAGCCCCGAAAAGGAGACCCTGCGAGCCCCTTCCTGGTAGGAATGATGCAACGTGCCTTCGTGAATCTACTTTGACTGGAAAAGCAGGCGCCAGCCTCAGCGATGCCTTCCTCAGGCTGGTGGTGTGATGGTCTCAGCCACCTCCACCGCGCTCCTGCTGCGGCACTGCAGGTGCTGCGAGACCCCCGTGAGCACCACCGCCCCCAAAGCGGTCCCACAGCAGCGTCCTGTCCCCAGGGCCTCTCCCCCTGCCTGGCCCCTCACACCTTGTCCTCAGGGGTGGTCCCCAGTCTGTGCTGGCAGCCGGTGCCTTTAAAAGGGAAGCAACTCGTCCTCTTTAGCTTATGAGATCAGAAACAGGAGGATACTTTTCCCCTGGGGTGAGGACAGCGATGGAGGCAGGCTGCCGGGCAGTCTCGTGCGGCAGGGAGCTGTGGCAGCCGCTCTGCATGGTGCTGGGTCCCTGTGGCTGGCAGCTCAGCGCAGCCAGGCCGGTACTGCTGATGCTGCTGTGGGGAAGCTGTGCTCCGTCTGCTTGGCAGGGGATGGAAAAAAACACATTTTGCAATGGGTGACGGAATTAAGCTCCGTCTGTCAGGACAGGTGCAGCGGTTGCAGTGCTGCTTGCCGTGCCCTGCTGGGAATGCCAAACCCCGCTGTGCCCGGCTGCCACGTGGCGCTGGGAGAAGTCCCTGCTCAGTGCTGCTGTGCCACCAACCATGGTGCTGCTGCCGGTCCCTCTGCAGCCTGGGGACAGCGGGGAGCAGCTAAAGGGAGCCCGGGGGCTGGAATGAGCTGCGAGCACATGAATTCATGGTTCTCAGGCCAAGAGCTGAGAACCAGCCTTGGCTGGGTAGCCCACGCTGATGTGCAGGGCTCTGGCTCTGCTGCTTGGCATCTGCATTTCTGCTTCCACAGGGGCTTATCTCAAAGCCTGAGCTGCTGGCTAACAGGCATTCTGCACCCACCAGCTGAAGGAGGAGAGGCTGTGGCTGCTCTCTGTACGGATGTTAGGAGGTAAATCTTCCAAAGGAGGAGTGCTGTTACACTGGAGAACTGTGTGCAAGCACAAATGTGCACCAATTGGCTGCTAATAAACCTAGTCGAGAAACCAGAATATTCCTAACCATGCAGTGAGCAAGGGTCTGAAACAGCCTCTGACAGAGCCGCAGGGCCAGAGCCTGCGGGTGCTCCTGCCTGCTCAGCTCCCCACGGCGTGGTGCTGCGGTACGGGGGCAGCGCAGGCACCACGGGGTCTGGAGCCCCCCAGGAGCGAGGTCTGGGGCCAGCCCTGGCCGTGCAGGCTGCCTGCTCCGTGCTGCCCGCAGGGTGCCTGGGGACGGGCTGCCCCTGCTGCGGGGAGACACAGAGTAGCAGAAAGGAGGAAAGCTTCCTTCTGCTAACACACAATTATGGTTAATGTGGCATGCTGATATTTCCTCGTATTCACCACCACTTTTACTGTGGTAATGCCACTATCTCCTCACCATTAGGTCTCACAACTGCTTTGTGATTCCTTCCCTTTCTCTTTGTGCAGCCAGGAGGTGTCTAAGTGCTGGTGAGTTTTTCCCAGCATTTATATTAAAAAATAATTTTCCACAGGCTAGCAGCAAGTAGCTCTGTCTGTGACTTCATGCAGTATCTTGTCTCTCCTGCTTTTACTTCATCTCTTCAGCACACACACACAGGGCCCTCTTCAACTCCATTAAATTATTGGCTAAAATTATCTTCTTGACCTTCTGATCTGAACCTTTCTGCTTGCTACTCCCACACTGAAACAAGTTTAATGCTTGTGTCCTTCCAAGCTTCTACCTTGCTCCTTTGCTTCCTTCGTATCTGCCCTGCCCTCTGCTCCATGCCTGCCTGCTCCATGGCCCTCTGGCCTCTCTTTGTGTCTGCCAAAGCTGGCTCGGGCCCTTTTGTGTCCCCTCTCTGCCTTACCGTAAGGAGCCGATGTTGTGCTCAGAGTAATGCGACCAGTGGGGCAGGGCTGTGGCATTCCGGCACTGCAGTAGCTGAAGCCGTGAGGCCTTTCCACATCCCTGCATGTTGCCTGCCCGGTGCTTGCACAAGGACGGGCACTGCAGTGCTTGCTGTAAGGAAATAAAAATGGGCAAAGCACAACAAAACATTTTTCAGCAAAATGTGCAGGTGGAAACATGTCCTCGCATTGTTGCAGGGCAGTTCGCTCTTGCTTTTCTATCTGTCCTAGTTTGTACATACCCGGCCTTGTTGCAATAGATCTAAACCAGCATGTTACACTCCTTAGGGCAAGGGCTGTCCATCTCTTTGTTCTGCAAAGCCAGCACGCTTCCAACAATCAGTTAATGTTTCTTGACGTGGAGAGGAGGATGAAGACAGGGTGCATGCTTGAAAGACAGATGTCATTAGAATTCATTGGAAAAAAGGCTGAAGTAAAGCACAGTGCGGTGATAACCCAGATCACGAAACAATGATTTCACTGCTGTATGCAAAATCGCTGTTACATCTTTGGTGAGGACTGACTGGCTGCGGGAGACAAGCCCGGGCTGATGCAGGAGAGCAGAGCGAGCGCTGCTGAGCGAGTCCCGCTGTGCTCCATCCTGTCCCATCCCTGCCCTGCTCCCGGCTCTGTGCCGAGCGCTGCCTCCCTCAGCACTGCTGTGGTGCTCCCCTGCAGGAGCGAGGCTGATGCGGCCTCAAAACCTCTGCCTGGAAAGCCCCAGCCGGGCACACGCGGGGTGGGAAGGTTGGGGAGTGCGGCCCAGGCAGCCGCAGGCGGCTTGGAGCCAGAGGAAAGCTGTGTGATACTGCTCCAAGGATGGGATTGTTCTAACACGAAAATTACAGGGCCGTGGCAGGTTTGCTGTGTTGTGACAGCACCTGTAAGTAACTGTGTGTCCTGGAAGCCACTTTGCTCGTCTAGCAAACGTAGCTTGTGACTGTGGTGCTCTCATTGCTGCTTTCAACTTCTTTTCCTGTTTGATTGTTCCCTTAATCAAAAGAAAATGAACACCAATTAAGCTATCTTACAAAGTGTGATTTGTGTCAATTAAGACTGCTGGTGTGCCTTTGAAAAGCAGTGATGCTGAGGCCTGGTTCACGCAGGACATGTAAGAGAAAGGGGTGGATCAAGCTTCTCGAGTAAATGCAGAAAGAGCTGAGCTTGATTAATGCAAATCAAGGTGTTCTTATAAAGTGAGATCCTCCCGTTTGAGATAGGACGGCAGCCTGACGTGAACATTACAGAAATGTTTTGGAAATGCACAGGGTGTGTCCGGGGCTGTGTGTTTATGGGCATGTTCGTGCAGGTTCCCTCTGCAGAGCGCAGCCCTCGCACAGCCCCAGGCACCGCGGGGCAGCGCCTGCCCCAGCACGGCCCGGCCGGCACAGGAGGGCTGCTGCAGGAGGCTTCTGCCAAGGGCCGAGCGTGTGCTCCGTGTTTAACAACAAACACGCTTCTGAACGGCCTGCCTAGTGGGTCATGAACAGGAATTAAATGAAGTGTTGGCATTTGAAAGAAGAGAGATTTGAAGTATTGCTGTGTGTACCTGATCAACCAGGTATTAGAAGATCTTGAAAAGCCTGCCAGCAGTTGCTTTATGGGCGCATGTTGCATGAAGCACTCTTCGTTTTTCCCCTCAGAAGGAGAGGGGCACGGTGACCGAGCACCTCCTTCAGCAGCAGGGTGTCAGCCGCGGGCGGGGGGCTCCTGTGCGCTCAGAGGGGAGCTGTGCGTGGGGCACGCGGCTGCACCAGCACCAGGGAAATGCGGCCCCGCGGGGTGCTGGAGGAGGCCGGGGAGCTGTGAACCCCACGGGGTGCTGGAGGAGGCCGTGTGCCCGCAGCACGGCTCAGAGCTTCCTGCCCAGCAGCTGGGCCCCTGCAGCCCCGTGCTGCCTGTCCCTGGGCAGAGCAGTGACCCAGTGGGGCGGCCACGGGGGTTGCTCCTGGTGCACGGGGCTGTGAGGAGCAGGGGCTGTGCCGCTGGCCTCTCTCAGGAGGCAGCTGGCTTTCAGAAATTAAAAGCGAACCAGAACGGTCAAAAGGCCTGGAAAGCCAGCAAGAATTACAAATAGGGATTGAAAGCTAAAGAGAGAGAAAATCTTAATTAGATCTCCACCAACCTGTAGAGAAACACATTTGGATTAAAATGAAATGGAGCTTTGTACTCTCTGGGTTTCCGAGCAAGAATGGAAGAGGAATTATTCACAATTGCTATTTGTGAAGCTGGATTGCTTTTTCTGTGAACTTGTCTTTTTAAATTTTCACCTTGTCAGAAAACGGTGAAAAGCTGCTGGGATGGTGTATTTGGGATAGTTCTTATCACAGGACACGGCAGAAACATTTCCATGGCTGCAGAACACAGGCAGGGTTTCCCATTTAATCCTCTGCTCCCCACGGTAACTCCATTTCTCATTTCGTAGGCCAGCCTGTCCACCATTCAGTAGAGTTCAGCAAAACTTGCCTTCAATTTCAGCACCACAGATATTTTCTCTTTGTGAATATCTATCAATATTTAATACAGTGGTGTCGGTTTTGCCGTAAGATGAGAGGAACTACTAGCAACCTTGAATTATACATGGTGTGTCTGGGGGAAGCTGCGGAGGGTTTTCTTTTGGGCCCAAAGCTCTTCCAGTTGATCTCCAGGACCTGCGACTTGAAATCGTAATCATGGATGAGCACCAGAAGAAGCTCAACCAAAGGACACGAGGGAAGGCCCCGCAAAGTGAGGTTCAAAATATCATCGTCCTACAGCGGTCGAGTGCTGAAACAAGTCTACGAGGACGGGCAGGAGCTGGAGCCCCCGGCCAAAGAGCAGTCCCGGCGTTTCCTCCGGCACAGCTTCGAGCCAGGGGAACCGCCCGTGCATGGCAGGGGACGCGGCAGAAGGCAGGCTGTGCCCGCCAGCCAAGCTGAGTGCCCAGCGGATCAGCATATTCAAAGAGGATCAGAAATACAGCCTCGCCAGCACCTCGCCTCTCTTCAGCAACTGCCCCCCCAGTGCCGGCCACTGCAGGGTGAGTAACGCCCAGCCCCGGCTTCTGCCTGTTGTAGTGAGATGCAGCATTTCCGTGTGTTTCTATGCTGAGTAATCCTAATGCATCGAGAGCAGTCAAAAGTAAGGTGGATATTATCTTAATTAGTTATATTTTAAACATAAAAGTTGCATGATTTGAGCTGGCAAAAAGGTTAGTGCCCCTGGCAGCCTACCTGTGAGCCTCAGAGCGAGTCGTGCATCCTCTGGAAACTCAGAATTGCCCTGCACCTGCTCTGAAAATCCCACCCTAGTTTCACTGGGTACATTATTAACATCTAATTAACACCACTGATATAGAAGTGTCCTTTTAGCCGTAATAAAAAGCAAGTACACATGTAATATGTTAAATTGATTCATATGCGGGGATTATGTTCATTTTCTTGTCCAGTCAAATTAAACTTCTGTTATTTTTTACTGCCATTTCTTTTTATCAAACCTCTGTGTGCCAGCCAAACAACCCATGTAACAGCTGTGGTGTATCGGTGCTGCTGCTAACAACCACGTTACCCTGAAACACAAACTCCAAATGAAGTGTGTTATTGATATATTGATGTAATCAGCAGATTTGTGAAATTCAAGGTGGGTCTGCTCAGAAAAAAATGATAAAAAGGAAGACAGCAAAAGGTAGCTAGCTTGTTCAATCAATATAGCAGGCCTTTCCCTGGCAGATACCTCATCTCAAATCCAGTTCAGATTGAACGATGAGCAGTTGTTATTCAGAGACTGGTCTGTCCTTTGCCCAGGACACCCCTTGCAGACACCATCCCAGTCCTACACCGGCTGCTTGGTGGTACTGCCCCAGTTGCTAGCAGAAAGGTCACAAATTAAGAATGTCTCCAGGGAGAAATTTGAGTACGCCAACAGCTGAAACACACAGAAAGTTGTGCCGTCATCTGCTGTGGTCTCTTGAATAGACACTTTGACCACAACTAAAGGGACTTGGGAGTGCTTTAGAAAGTGTTTTATGTCTTAGTTTAAACACATTAAAAGTCTATTGGTGCTAATCAAAGTTTCAGAGTTGCATGTAGGAACACCAGACCGCTGATACTTGAAGTATGTTTAGTTGATATGCTGGGCATCTAGTTTAACCAAAAATATCAAACCACTACGAATGCCTTTTGCCCAAAGACAGAGCACTTATTTGATCCTATCTATACCATTAATTTGTTCTGCATTCTTGGGTAATACTCATCTCTATTCCCTAGTCTTCCTAACCATAAGTACTTTGAGTAATCATGCTATCCAATATCTGTTTTGTTTCGTATCAACATGCACTCAGTATTTGGAGACACCACGTCTGCATAAGAAATACGAGGTGTTTAAAACCCTCTGCCAACGGGCAGGGTTTGAGCTCGCTGCCCCTCCATGCCTCTGCTGGTGCAAGCAGCAGGTGCCCCGGTTGCCAGCAGAGCCATCAGCCAACCTGCGCTGGATGGTGGGAGTCTGTCACAGCATTTTCTTAGGAGAGCGTCTCCTTTTGCATCACTTCTTGACAGACACTTATACAGAGTGAAATATGAAGAGTGTGTAAAGCAATAGGCTATGGCAGCTGCCATATGATACCTGGTAAAATGCTAAGGGAAAGAGGGACCAGGTAAGCAAAATGCTGCTTTCAAAATGTGTTTGACCAGATCAAGGTTAGTTTAAAAATAATTAGAAAAGAATGCAAATTCGAGTTTCCCCATGGATGGGTATTTAGACTGGCTGCTAGGATCAAAATTTATCATTAGAACATTAGAAAGTGAGCTTTTTTTTTTTTTTTTTTTTTTTTTTTTTTTTTTTAAATCATCTGACCACTTTGTCAGCATTAATGGCCTATCTTTGCATCTCTCCTCCCCTGTGCCCCTGTGTGTACCGTGCTCTGGAGGGCCGTGGGAAGCTGGCCTGTGGGGCAGAGCCAGCCTAGGGGCGGCCAGGCAGGAGGGAAATTCTTCTGGGAACCCAGGGGTCGGCAGTGCTTGCAGTGTATTCATACGGGCGGGGCGTTGATTAAGATCCTTCTACAGGCTTCCCCAGTCATAGATTTTGGTAAGATCATCATCTACACAAATAACCTGAAAATCATCCGTGCACCGATGGACCAGAAAGAGCTCATGAGAAGAATCATCCAGACTGAGGGAATAAATGACTGGGCCTTCATATACCACGAAAGGAAAGACAGAATTGGCACTGGACATAAAAAAGAGGTGGAGAAAAAGGTTGCCTGCAACCAGTATATGCAGGTAAGTGCATATATAAACAAAATTGCTTTTGTTCCCCAAGGCTTTTGGGTCTTGCAGCCCCAGTCAAACAGCTCAATATTCCCATCCAAGCCCCATCCATGTCTGTAGCTGACACTTCAACTACATTTGGATTAAAAGCATCACTTTGTTCCTCTTCCAACGTGGAGATAACTAATCAGTGCTGCAGCACGGTTTGCACTCTGGGGACAGCTGCTCTGTTTCCAGCGTCCTCATGTCTCCCACTTGATGTTTCCCTCGGAGATCGCTGACATTTATGTCGTTTGGCTTAGGTCCATCTTTCTTCACTCTCTCCCAGCGGAATAAGAGCAGGCCTGAGTTTCTCCAGCCTGACAAGGCTAAACACAGCTGCCGTGTGGCTGAGACTGCCTGAGGCTAAAATTTTAATATCAGCTGAAATAGGATTGTGTCTTCCCCTTATTTTCTCACGGGTTAGTCTTTGTTGGTCAGAATCCCAATTAGTCTGACCATAATTTGATCCCACAAAACAATGTTGTCATGCAGGGTAAATACCAAGCATCACAAATTTGCCAACCTGAAACCAACCTCCTGTGCATAATGCAGGTTGCCTTGGATGCTCTGCAGCCATGAGCCTTGCTTGGGGCTCACTTACGTAAAGTCCCCGTGAAAAGTGAGAACAACCCTGAGAAGCTAAGCAGCCTTTTTGTCCTTTGTCAGTATTGAAATAAACATAATTTTCAGAAAGAGGGCTTTGACATCAAAGCCAAGATTCATCCCATCTACTGAGAGAATTGCTTGTCTGAGATATTTGGGAACAAAGAGTAAAATCTGAAAGAACCAAGACTGTGGATATCTTTTTCCAGAATAGTTTTGGATTCTTTATGCACTGGTAATACAAATATTCAATGAGATGACCAAACCACAGGAAGGTTATTCTCCTGAGAAGTCAACTAATTTGGCCTGTCAGATTACCATGTAGGCACGATGTAAAGCATACCCAGCACCAACTCCCATATCTTAGTTAAGCCTCATTCTGTTCTGCTGGGTAAGGCAGCACCACGGCACAGGAATGATGCAGGCCACTGAACTGACACCAAAATGGTGAGCCTGTGCCCGGGTATGTGCTTCCTGCTGCAGATGTTCAATCACTCCTGGGCTCTGTGGAAGTAGTGAATTTTAAGCTGAGAGTAGAAAGAGGCTGGCAGCCCTGGGGCACGTTGCAGGCACAAGCGGAAGCCTGAGAGAAGCCGTGCGTGTGTCAGTGCTGGGGGACTGGCGAGGGCAGAGGGTGAGGAGCAGTGCACGAGGAAAGGAAGCGTGGCTTAACACAGAGCTGGTAAAAAGACCACATTAAGAAACGACAGGAAGATGGGGAGCTATGTAGACCCTTGCAAGAGGAGAAAAGCTGAATTTCAAAGTACTGTGTTTCAAACCCAGCCACATCAACTTTTCATTTTGCAGAAGTATCCACAAACTGTCCCCAGACACACAGAAGCCTTTACCTTGGAGATCTTGCTATAGAGAGACAAATGCTATTGGCAGAGTGGTGTGCCAGGAACCACGATTGCTTTAAAGACCAGAGGAGAGAATTTCCTGCTTTCAGCTGTTACTGACTGTGATGTTTGATATTGAGTACAGATTTTGTTTGTGACCTTTCTGTTGCAGGAAGGAGATGCTGAACACGCTTGTTCCCAGTGTAAAGGATCAGGCTCTGCTCCTTGCTCGCTGTGCCATGGAAGCAAGTTTTCAATGCTAGCAAACAGATTCAGAGAGTCCTACAGGGCTCTCCGATGCCCAGCTTGCAATGAAAGCGGCGTGCAGCCCTGCCAGATCTGTGCCGCATGACCAGAGCTGCAGCAGTCCACAAGCACTGCACCGATACTTTGTGGAGAACTTTGAATTATTTCATCTTCAAGCAGCCTTGCTCTAACAGAAAGTTTTTTAAAGATGAGAAAGGCGCCTTACACACGTCTCCACCGTAATGCGAACACAGCACCTCTGCTACCAGCTGTTCCTCTTGTTTGTTACACACATCTGTCCAGCTTTTTAATCAGCCCAGACCCTGCTTTGCAAACATGCTGCTTGTAGCCCTGTGGGGTGAACACATCCAGGCTGCTACATGACAAGATCTGCGTAAATGTCTCCTGCATCAGGAGCTCGGCCTGGGTCTGCTGGCACTGCCCGTCAGCGCTGCTGGGAGCCGGATCCCCCCAGCAGGCACCGTGGTAGCGCAACAAAAAGCAGCAGAAATAGGCGCAGGTTGGGCACGTCGTTAACAGTCAGGGTGTGAAGTGTGTTTGTATGACAGCAGGGCAGAACCAGAGTGGTGCCTCCGCTGGGTTTTAATGTGCTGAACATTTTAACATTACACCATCTTTTGCGATTAACTCTGAACTTGCCTTGCAGTGTCACAAGTGCTTCCCGAAGATTTTGCTGATTCTTACATCTGCTTTTATGGACACAGTGATTCCTGTGGGGTCTGATTTATGGGGGAAAACTGAAAACTCTTCCCAAATCTGGAGCTATTAAAATGCACAGTAATTTATTATTATAAATAGAAGCTAATGAGTTTTTGGCCTACTTATGAGGAAGTGCTGAACTAAAATTCCCCTCTCCAATGCTCAGCACTTTTCAGGATCAGGCTGGTGGTGAGCAGGATTTTTGTTGCTTAATATTAATCCCATGTTGTAATCTGCAAGAGGTAAACTCTAATTAGTTGAGGTGAAGCAATGATGCTGAATACTTTGCAGGCTGCCACTGGTGGTGCAGAACACAAGGGCTTCAAAAGCTGGAGGCAAACGGGGGAAACGTCTTTTTTTTTTTTTTTTCTTTCCTCCCTCCCCATAGCCTTAAATCATTACATTTCATATTCATGAGTAATGGTAATGCAGCCTTAACTTGCATATTACCGCTGAGACTGAGGAGTTAAGAGGCTGCTCGCGCGTTCTCGGTGCTGAGGCTGCACGCCGTGGCAGGGCGTTTATGGCCAAGTTTCTGCTTCTCTATGGGAGGCTATAAAACCTCTCCCCAGTACTGGAATCACTAGAAATAACGCCCTTTTAGCTCTTAGACTTCCACGTGTCTCCTACTGAAATTTTTCAGTGGGTACCAGGGGTTTAATTACAAATAAACACAAATGTAGCCTGATACCGGATTCGCTTCGTTTATCCGCCAGGCTCTGTGTGTACCCAGCCAGCAGCCCCCCCCCCAGGCGGCTCCCCCCCGGCGGGCCCGTCTGATCGCTGCCGCTCTCGTTTAGAACTTGGGCAGCCCCAGATAAGGAGGAGGCGAGCAGGCAGTGCTGCTGCCCGGTACTTCCATGTTTACAGTAACACCAGGCGCACACACGCGTTTAGGCAGCGTGTTCATTGTCCTCCTGCCACCACCGTCGGGGCAGCGCCTTCCCGGCCGCAGGGGGGCCCGGGGCAGGTGCCGGTGTCTCCAACAAGCGCTGCGGTTCCTCACGGGCAGCTCCATCCCTCCCGGGGCTGCCCCGGGGCCGGCCCCGCAAGATGGTGGCGGTGCGGGGCGGGCCCGCGGGCGGGGCAGGAAGGGGCGGCCGGGCCGTGCCGAGCCGGGCCCCGCCATGGGGGTGACGGTGGAGGTGCACCGCGTGTACCGCTACCCCTTCGAGCAGGTGGTGGCCAGCTACCTCCGCAAGGTAACCGCGGCCGCCGCGGGGCTGCAGCGCCTCGCAGCGGGCAGTGCCCGGTCCCCATCGAGGCTCGGGGCTCGGGTGGGCGTGCGGGGAGCGCTGTGCGGGGCAGGGGAGGAGGGGCGGGGGGCAGCGGGGCAGGGGGCAGCGCTCCGTGCGTGGCTGCTCCGTGCGGGGCTGCCCCCTGCAAGCTCCCCCTGCACGCTGCTCTCAGCCCCGGCCCCCGAGCTGTGCATCAGGGCTGCCCTTCCTGCTGGTGCTTTCCCTGAGCAGTAGCACAGAAGGAGGGGTGAGGTGTGATCCTCATGAAAAAATGGTGCTGGGCGTTTGCCCTCCCGCTGTGACCAGCTTTTGGGAACACTGAAGTGAAAAACAGGAGCGGGCCCCATGGCGGTTGGTCCGGCCACAGGTGTTTAAACATTAACCACAGGAGTGAATGGGATGGTGTGGGGATAGCCGGGGTGTTTCCTTGGCACAGAGCCCCAGGGGGTTTGTGACCATTCTCGTCAGGACAAGAAGTCTGCACAGATGCTGGCTTTGGGCTGAATTCGCCCTTGTTTCAGTCAGCATGCAGGTGAGGAAGGCCGTGCCTGTGCCCATGCCCGTGCCCATGCTGTGGGCAGGTGCCGGCTCCCAGGTGCCCGCTAGCAGTGGCCGGGCTGTGGCGGAGCCGATGCCAAGGGGAGCCGGGAGCGCGTCCACCCCCGGCAGAGCAGAGCCCGAGCCCCGGGGGAGCAGCCCCGGCCCAGCAGCGCTGGGTGACGGCCGGCAGCGAGCTCCTCACGGCCTGCCTGCCGCGGGCACAGCCGCCTCCTGGCAAGGAGCTCTGCGCTCAAACTGTCAGGCCATTAGCAATGGGATCGGTTTTATGGCTCCTGGTAGGAGCACAAGGCTTTCAGTCCAAGAAATAACAAGCTATTTTTTTGCTGAAAGCTTTTGAAGACTGCGTTGAAACTTGCTGAGGTCACCAGGCTTTTGCGGGTGGTCTCAGTGGGGTCAGTTTCCTGCCTGCTGCTGTCAGTTTCACGGGATAATGACCAGGTACATACATCTCTAAAAGATGTGGCGTGGTTTTTTTAATTGACTGCCTCATTTTTTCTGGTGTTCGGCTCATTATAAAGGGGAACCGAATCCCTGTGGTGGTGCCTTGGCCTGTAATGAGGACCAAATATGTTTTGTGTGGAACTCTTACAAAGGAAAAATTCAAAATTTGTTCGCAGAATTTTGCGTAAAAATGCTTTGTCTGGAATCCTTCTATTTCTCTTCTGTTAATCATCTACAGATGTTCTTTTCTTGTCCTAGCACAGGACTTTAGAAAGATGCATTTAAGGTTTCCTTTAAAAACAGAAAAAAAATGGCAAAAGAAAATCTTTTTTGTCCTGCTGCAGAAAGCCTGAGCTGTATAGTTGGCAAGCTTGGGTAGTCAAATCTACTCACCATGTAGTTTAGACTGCCACACTATGGCTGACTAATGGATGTGCTTTGAAATATTAATTTGAACGCTTTGAATGAACTTGGAGAAGAACAGGCAGGAGGCGTCTTTTGCTGGTTTTTGTGAGTGTTTGGGAGCTAGCCTCAGAAGAGAAGCAGGGTTAGTGCTTTTCATTGTGAAAGATACGAACCAGAGTAGAAATACACACAGAAATTGTAGTCTGTAGTATACATCTATGTGAGTTAAGAAGGGCAGTTGGAGGTGAACAGTGAGGCTGATTGTGACAGCCAGAGGCACAGAGCAGAGAGGTTAAAATAATCCTTGTTTGTATGTGCCAGCAAAGCGCATCGCTTGCTTTTAACCGGGAATTCTGTATGAGTGAAGGATTGGCGTAGTTACTCATAAATCCCATAGTTAAAGTTGATTTTCAGTGCTCCCGATCCTGTTCTTTCTGTCGGGGTCCTGCGAGTTGAACCACTGAGTGCTGTTATGTTGCGGTAGGGTGGGAAGGTGCAACGGGGCTTGCTCTGAGAGGAGACCACAGTCAGGGTTCCTCAAGGGCATGTTTGTGTCAAGTCATCTCCTGGCTCGCAGGAGTCCCACATATTGCCTGTACTGGGGCATTTTCTGTATTGACTGCATCTTACGACCTCTCTCAATTGATCACAGAAGTCAAGAGGATCACTCTGACTCTGGACGGCGTTGGTGTGTTTTGTTCCTCACCCCCTGCAATCCTCGTCCCCCTTACACACCTCTCAGGTTCGGTTTAAAGCACTGCTGCCCTCCGCAGCAAAGTTTTCACCCAGCCTCTCTAAAAATGTGCCCTGACCGCAGAGTGCTTCCTCCACTTTGATAAATCAGTGGTCATCAGACGGACAGCCTTCTGCCTCAGATACTGAGGTGTATACTTGTACGTCAGTTCACAAATACCCTGGAAAACATTCTGCCTGTGTCCTGCATTTCTCGAGACACAGGATCCAAGTCCTGCAGCGCATGGCAGTCGTGAAGCCCTGCAGATGCTGCCCACATGTCTAAGCCCTGCCATAGCTCCTGGTGGCGAAGGGCAAGGGCAGGTAGTGGCCCAGCTCCATCCCTCCTCAGGGACGAGGTGGACACGTGGTGGTCTGCAACGACAGCCTTCTGTTGTGTTACATCTCTTGGACACCTACAGCGCAGGGGAGGAAAAATCCCCCGGGCAAGGTGTGAAAGGAGCTGAAGCACTTCCCATGTCCCTGGGTCCTCACACCCAGCCTCCAAGGCAGGAGCGGTGCTCCTGGGCTGGCAGGGGAGGGCTCGCTGTGCCCCGGCACGGTGCGGGGCTGGGAGCTCTGCTTGGCTCTGCCCTGCTCTGCTCTGCTGCAGGGGCCGCTCGGGCAGGGAGACCTCACCTCGGGCTGAGCCCACGAGCAGTAACTCAGGCTCAGTTCAAGTGTGACAGATTGATTTGTATTTGAAATAAATGTATCTGGGTGTGAGAGGCCTATGCATGTATTGATTTTTATCGCAGTAAGTGATCTACAGCAGTGGGTTTGCTAGAATTTTTTTTTTTAATTCACGTTTATTCACAAGCACCACCTTTCCAACCCAGTAATAAAGTGAAGGAATGTGGAAAGGTTTAGCTGATTTCGCAGTGTCACCGCTTCATTTCCTTGGTGTTGGAAAAGAAAGAATCAGAATATATATGAATTTAAATATTATTATTTTTCGCAAGTCTTTGAAGCTGTCATTTTGATTTATGTGGGCTCCATTTGATCTTGCATGTAAAACCAGCCCTTCATTGCTTTGAAATACTTCATTTTTGTACAAATCATTATGTGTAACTGCAGTGATTTCTCTCTGCTGCTAAACACAGTGCTGCTTTTAAAGGTCTGCTATTTCCCTCAAATAACTTCGAAGAAACATCACTGTGGTTAGAAACTGCTGCTTTTGATAGATGATCTGATGCATTCCAGTTAGGAAGGGTATGTAGGGTCTCAATTCCCTGGATTCAGAGTAATGACTGATGGAATCAATTCTGTGTTGGTACTTGTAGAAAACAATCGATACATTTGCAGGAAGACCGAGTAGGGGCACAGGAATTACTCCCTTTTTAATTGTCACATTTTTGCAAATAGGGAATGGAAAGCTTCAATTTCAGTAAGCAGCGAAATGTGGCAGTAAGTGTGGTGACTGCTCAGACGCTCCCCGTGCTGGAAATGCAGAGGGATTTTCTGGCTGTGGGACTCAGCTTCGGAAATGCTGTTTGCAGGTGCCACGTTTGTGCACTAAGTCTCTAAAACGGACTCAGCGTCTTTGAGAAACACACACGGCTGGCAGTCACAGAAAAAAAAAAAAAAGAGTATTTTAAGGACAGTCAGCTTCACAGCTTCTGCTGTTGATGATTTGTTTGGGGTCTTTTTAGAGCGACGGAGGGACAGACGGCTCTAAAATAAGCACGTCGGGAGTCTGCCTCCTCGGAGGTGTTCGGGACCTGTCTGGATGTCAGGTCCTGGGTGGCCCTGCCTGAGACACCCTGGGGTCCCTGCCAGCCTCGACCCTCAAGGCACTGGGGAAGCACGGGAAGGCAATTTACTGAGGGAACTCGTTGGAACTGCATGAACGTCCGCCGTGGATGAGCAGCGGGGGTTCCAAAGCCCTCAGCGGGGCTGGGCACGGTGCCTGGGGTGTGGGGGCAGCCCTGTGAGGAGCAGGTACGGCAGGGCTGGGGCTCGCTGTGCCCTGTCCGCGGGGAGTGGGGCCGCGCAGGGAGGCTGCGGCTGGCAGGGCTGCTCCTGTGCCTGGCAGGCTCCCCAAGCCGCTACATCTGCCCGTGGGCCTCTCGTGTTATTTCTTTTTCTGAGCCGTGTTAGGAGATTGAGTCTATGTCTGTTTAAGGACTCAGGTAATAGAGCCTGCTATTTAGTGACAGATTTATGGAAATGGTTCCGTGTTTCACACGGTTGGGCCTTACAGCGGGAGTTACGTTGATAATGCAATGACGCCAGTGCTGCCACTGCACAGCAGCGAGTTGTGGGGAAGGCTCCAGCTGCTGTGCAGAACAGGACTTGAAAACCTTGTGCTTTTAGAGTCAACTTTTGTTCTGCAGTGAGAAGCAGGAGAGCTGGGTTGTAGAGCAGCCTGCTCTGAGTTGTCGACCTTTTTGGCCCAGAACCGAAGATCTCGTCAGGATTTTGGAGCACCTGTGGTTACATATTGTAACTGCGTTACCCAAACTGATCTGGTCTTGAAACAGCAATTTCTCCACCTTTTCTGAAGCTCCCTGTTATGTTCAATGCTGATTTTAATTTGGTGTTCAGCATTTCTCCAGCCTGGCATTTTTTTTACCATGGATGTTATGGTAACTTTGCAGCATTATTTGAGTTCAATAAATTTTCTTGTGCTTTACATTTTAGATTTTGTTATTGACCTGAGTATTGATCGCTTTGTGCAGTGGAAGTAAGGTCCTCGTAGCCCTGTCCCTCTCATTTCTGTTCTAATCTTACTAAGCTGGTCTTACCAAATTCTTCCTGATCTGAGTGGAGTCTGCAGGCTGTTGGTGCGAAGCAGCCTGTACCTGTTGAGAGAAGCGATGTGACTGCGTTGGGCTCTCCGCGTGGCAGGCAGCCCTGCGCTGTTACCCACGTGGCGAGCAGTAATGTTTACTCTTTGCATTTTTATCCCAGTACCCCAGTCCCATGGACAAACACGTCACGGCTGTAGAAACAGTGGAAGAAAAAACAGGTAAGCTGCCTGACTTTTTTCTTAAAAAGCTACCTAACGCTTCTCAAAACCTTCAGTGTTAACTATTGAACAGCTTTATTTCGGTAGCAGCTGGGCACTGCACACATCCAGCATGCAGGACTCCTAGGCTAAGTGAGACTGAGAAAATATTTAACCTGCCCCCACAAGCATGTGCTTTAGCTGGATTAAGCATTTGGATTTTCATCTTAATCTGAGGCTGTCAGAGATGGCTGCCTACTTTTCCTGCAGCACGTTCTTCTGCTGTGCAGTTCCCTGGCACTTCTGTGACGATTTCCAGCCGTAGTGCCCTGCAGACCAGGGGTAAGGCAGCTGGAATTGAGCACGGTGAGCGCTGGGGTCAGGCCTCAGGCGCTCCGCAGGCATTTCCCTGCCTCGCTGTGCAGGTCCCTGCCCGGGGGACATTTCACTGTCCCACCGCACGGCGAGGCGGTTCCAGGGCCCAGCCACCTGCATGGTGGCCCTGTAGGGTGCTGGCAGTCAGCCGGTGAACCCGGACCCTCAGTCTGCCCCTTATCAGGGTTCCTGGAATACCAAGAGTTAGACGTTACCCAGTCGTAGTGATGGGCAAATAAACGTGCTCAGGTCAGAGCATGGTTAGCAGATGAGGTGCGGTGGTCCTGCACGGGCTGTTTCCCATTGCTGAGGTTGCCAGATGTGTTTGCAGTCAGGCACTTCAAGTAACGTGCCTGCAAAGTATTAAACTGTTGTGCCACCATGTGGGAATCAAACACTGTAGGACTTTGCACAGTAATTATTCCCTTCTTCTAAATACTGGATTAGCGATTGAATTCTCATTTGGAATGGAGTAAGAACTTCTTGACTCTTAAGTCTTAGTCCCAAGTGCTTGTGGCTGCTCTTTGTCGTACTGTTGGAGATGTCTTCTGCCTTGCAGCTCAGGGTTAGCGGTGGCCCTTAGTGAGGTTGTTGAGATTAAAGCAAACAGAACATTAGTGCTGCCCTGGCATTTTTATCGGAGGGAGTAAACCACTCGTCTTGGAGATGCTTTTCTGCTCTCCGTTGCATGGAGATGCTTCGTATTATTTATGTGATGTGTTTGTTCCAGTCCTGAAAACCAAACCCCATGAAGTTTTCATTTCACGGACCCAACCAAATGCTGTTTGAGAACACACTCTTCTATCTCTGACAAGTCTGTAACCTGGGCTGCCTGCCAGTTGGGTTCTCGTGTGGTACTATCCCGAGGTTTCTGTTCTTGATCCGGGTCATTAAATATTAAAAGGCAAAGTGGTTCTAAAAGCCAGCCATTTTCTGAGATGGTAAATAACTGTAATTTGTTTCCTAATAGATAGTTTTGTCCTTGTCGCTGCTCCAATTCAATGCAAAAATAAATGCGTAAGGAGACACGGCGGCTCTGCAAATCATGTGTGCAGTACGTCTGCCCGGAGAACGAGCTCGAGAATATAAATCGGGGCCAGGGTAGAAATAAAGGGAAGCTTCAGGCTGCACATGGCCCGGCAGCTCAGGGGCCCGAGCACTTCCCTCGCCCCAGCCAGCGGCGTGCTGTGGGACAGGGCAGGACCGGGACGGGCCCTGAAGGCTGGCACCAGCACCAGGACCAGCCTGGCACTGCCTGCTGCGGGGCTTGGCTGCCCGGGAGCACCGGGATGGGCGCAGGGAGGTGTTTGTGCCACGCTCTGTGAGGGTGCCTGGGTGCAGCGCTGGGTGCTGATCCCTCCAGAGGCAGTGCCCGTAGCAGCCTTGTTTACAGCCCTGTCTGGCAAGCAGCAGGAGTACTCCGTTATACTTAGAAAAAAAAAAAAAAGTAAATAAATCAAAACCCTACTGCATTGCTAATTTGCCAACATTTCTGCTTGCACATTCGCTGTCTGTGAAGTCTTGCAACTACTTTTTTCTTTTTTTTTGAAAAAATGGTAATATCTGCTGCCGTAACTCTTCCCTTCTGCTTGGCTTTTACCAACAGATTTGTCTACAGGGATTGTTTACCGGAGGAGAATTGCAACGTGCAAGAATGTAATTCCTGAGATCCTGAGGAAGGTAACTGCTGGGGGACGTTCAGTCAGGTTGTGAAATTCCTGCTTGTGGTTTATCTTGTTTAACGGGATCACATTTCTTAATGATATTTTCTTTTTGTTAGAAAAGTTACTTTTAAAGAGGAGTTGAGAGAAAAAAGTTCCCTAAGAACCGATGTAACTGGAATGGGCAAACCTGTAGCCTTGAGTAGAGGGAGATGTAAATGGTGCTGGTGGTTACCTTGCAGGTGGTAGCGGGCTTTTACCTTTCCTACCTGGAAAAAGTAAACCCTCGTTAAGCTGTCACCTGGGCCTCAGTGAAAGGGCAGCTGTTCCCCCGCCCCCCCTGTAATAATCCTATTGCTGCCAGCTGTCCCAATTCTCGTGTGGTAGGTGGTATTTTTGTAAAAGCCCAGTGTCCCAGGACTGAAGGGGGAGAAACTGCACCTGAAGACTCAGAGAGAAGGCAGCTGATAACAAACACCGGGCAATATTTCAGTGCCGAGCTCCTGTCGGATGTCTGATCCATGACTTGGACCATGCTGGGCTGTTGTCTCCTACGAAAAGCCACTCTGTAAGGGAACTCAGAGGGAATTAAAAGAGGCTCAGTGTGCCTCTACCACGTTGCAAGTTAAACATGGCATCGCAGAGTCCCTGTAAGGAGGATAAGGTGCGAGTCCTTAAAGGCTGTAGGAAATGCAAGGACCCGGGGTGTGCGGTCCCGTGCCTGGTGAGAGCAGTCCTTTCCTCACAGTTTGTGGGAGAGGACTAACCTTGATTTATTATTTGTTTGTTGCAGAGTATCTCTCAGCATACAGCCTGTATACAGAAAAGTATGTTTATGTTCGTGCATGGGTAAATAACTGTTTTTCAAGGCCTGCATGCTTCAAAGTATACATAGCTCTTTTTCCTGGTACTCTGAAGACTCTGTGTGTTTTTGCCTCTAAACATGTGTTTGTCTCTTCCAAGCCTCATCCGCCAAGGAGAACATATCATTGCCCTATACATGCAGAATTAAAATAAGCCGATGGTGAGATTTCCATCCCTTCCGCAGCCCACGTTGCCAGATAAAAGCCTCGCAGGTTGAGTGGGCTCTAGAGGAGGTGGCTGGGGCAGGGCTGCCAGGGGCGTGCAGGGGGGCAGCGCCCGTGGCCCCCCCGTCCCCGTGGCCCCGGGGGCGGCTCGCAGGTAACCCCGTGGGAGTGGGCTCTGTCCCCCCGGCTGTGAGGGAGCCGTCGGCAGCAGGGCAGGGGACACAAACGGTCAGGTAACTTGGTGCCGAGCAGTCCTGCGAGTCCGGCTGGGGGCTGAGCAATCCCCAGGAATTTTGGAGCTTTTGCATGGCCTCCAGTGCGTGCTGAGGAGGTTGGCTCTGCTCGTCAGCATGAGCCAGAGCTGATGTCCCCTCCTCAGTAGTCCTCAGTCACCCCCTGAGGCTATGAGTGTATGCCAGGTACTGAGAAGTGCTTCTACCCTCTCAAAATGCTTTTTTTTCTGTCTTTTTTTTTCTTTTTTCAAAGCACTCCAATTCTTTTACTTGCAGGTCAGTGCCTTAAAAGTGCCCAACATCCACCTGGAAGAGGAATCATGGCTTAATATGCAGAAAAGAAATATGTCTATGAAAACTCACTGTCTCACATGGACACAGTATGCGTCCCTGAGCGAGGAGTCTGTCTTCAGGGAGAGCTTGGAAAACCCAAACTGGTGAGTGCCTGGGTGCCTGCTCCAGGCTGCTGTGGTCTCCTGGCCTGAAAAGTGTTTTCTGTTGCCTTTTGAATGCTTGGAAGGGTCTGAATAACAATTCTTTGCTGAGTCTTGACTGCGTGTAAAGCAGCTACTATAAATGTTCTGTGGCTTTCCGCTGGATCCTTCAGATGCTGGGCTAGGTTCTCTGGCCAGAGCACAAATAATTGTTGGAAATTAATTTTCCATGTGCTCCTCTGCAGTCATAGAAGGCTGCCCCGCTGTTTCTGCACAGCAGGCACAGCCAGAGCATTCACTTTGCTCTCATGTCTACCAGCAGATGCTTGGCTAGCAGTTTAAAAATTATCAGCTACCTCCTGCTTGCCAGTCGTTGGCACGGAGCGCTCTTGCTCCCAAACAATTTTCTTTCTCTGGTGTTTGGCCCACCATGACCCAAAGGTGTAAGCTGGCATGGGACTTTGCCTGCGAGAAAGATAGACTTGTGTTTGTGCTGAGTGGAGCACAAAAATGTCTTAATGCATGTTTATGACAGGGTAGGAGTGGAATTTCTAACTCCTGCAGCAGTGAAACGAGCAGCTATGTAATACATGCAACCGTCTTTAAAAATAGATCTGTTTCTAGCTGATGTCAACCCCATTAGTTTTTACTGTGCTCTGGTGTCCGCTGTAATTAGTCATTACTTCTGCCGTGTGATGTTCCCTGGGAAGTGTGGCAGGGCTGTCCAGGTCTGCCTGGCTTCTGAGAGCTCTCAGGATGCTAAAGAAAAAAACCCACAACTTCAGACAACATTCAGTTTTGGGGGTTCAAGCAATTTTGAAAGCCCAGTGCTGGGACTTTGCTGTTTAGGGATATGTTCCTCTTGGTTTTTAAGTCACGGTGTTACAGAAGTTTGCTGAGCCCCCTGTCCCTGCACTGCAGCCCTGCAGAGGGACGGAGCCTGTCCCACGGCTCCCTCCGGGGAGGACGGACGTTTCCCTGCACCAGCATGGCCTTGCAGCTGTAGGTGTTGGTGCTGCTGGTGCAGACACGCGGGCTGCCTCGGCTGGTCAGAGCCCCCCGCCCTGTTTTGAGGCCTGCTCCAGGTTAGGAAAGATGCTGTCCTCGGTGTGTTTGTGCCTCCCCATGCAGGAGAGCTGCCCGCGGAGGCAGGCACCGCTGCTTGCTCTGACCCTGAGGCAGACTGGCACTAGGGAAAGCAGAGAACTCTAAACCCGGCTGTGTAGCTGGGCTGCCAGCAGCACGGGGCAGCCTCAGCAGTGACACAGCCCCTGGAGCAGGCTGTGCGCTGCTGCAGGGCCCCCCGTGCCCCTCCTCGGGCACCAGATGCAGTGAGCACTGCTGGTGAAACAGGCGCTGTGCAGTGAGGGTTACCTGGTGTGTGATGTGTGCGCAGTGCCCTGCCCCACAGAGTGGGGGTAAGGATCTCCCACACAAAAGCTGCCCCTCGGGAAGGGCCAGGCACTGGATGTTTTGGAAGCCTTGCAGGCTTTGGGGACCCTCCCTGACACCACCTGAACAATATCGCTAGACTTTTTGTACTAAAGACGCTTTAATTAAACTCCCATCATGAAAACAATTAGACCAAATTTGTCGTACTTAACTAGTCAATAATTTAGTAGTTGGGTCTCATTAATAGACTTCACCCTGTGACTGTGCTGTAACGATGCAGCGTTGCCAGCTGTGTGCTACAGAAATCAATCTCAGATCGATATTTTCCTTGAGCTGCCCTTTTTGGTCTCCAAGAATGGTGAAACAGCAAAATGAATGGATCAGTCCCAGCCAGCACAGCCAGGTCCAGGGGTGCCCAGCATTCACTGCTGACGTCTGTCCTGTGCCTGGGGGAGGCTCCTCATCTGCACCAGCTCCTTCACTTGAGCTCTGTGTGTTTTTCTTCCTGATGGCTTGTGTGTATAAAAACTGGCTGTGGCCCGCTGGGGGCATCGGTGGTGCTGGGCTCAGGCGAGTGCTGCTGTGGTGGGAGTGGGAAGGCGTCCACGTCGGACCTCTTCCCCCTGCTGTCACTGCCTCTGTCTAGCTCGATGTCCTGAGGACCCGCAGGATCACACAGGCTTTGTTTGCTGTTTCTGTGGTAGAGAAGCCTCGATCTGCTGCCCGTAGGGTACAGCACCTCGCTGGCCCAGTCCTGGCTGGCGCTGCTGCTCCCGGCACCTGCAGCAGCTCCCGTCTGAGCTGCTCCGAGAGCCGCGACTGGCACACGCCTCGTGCTGCTCCGTGCCCGCGCCTCCCAGAGCCGGTACACAGCGTGGGGGGACGGCGTGATGCCTTGCTTGGGAGTCAAGACAAAAACGTTGTAAGATTTATGTTTGATGTTTACGAAGTAGGCGGAGAAACAAGTTGGTGTTGTGTTCCTGTTTCCTAGGACAGACTTCACGCAGAAAGGCAGGATATCGGTTACGGGGGCCGGTTTGCTCAACCGTGTGTTGGAAGCTTTCGCTCAGTCATTCCTAAAGCAAGGCGTGAAGAAGGTAGGTTTATTTACTGCCTGAGCTTCTTCCTGGAGTTATGTTCAGAATGTTTCCAAATCACCGCATTGTCTGGGATTAAAGCTAAGTTGGTGTTTTAAGCCTGGATTCCTTACATCTTGTAATTGTTGAAAAAATATTTGACCTTTTCTTTTGCCTACAGAGAACAAGCAGAACAGAAATGGATTTAGTTTTATTATGGTAATAGTTTTATTTCAAATACATTTTAAAGCATGGTATATGTGTCTGTATCAATTTCTGTAATTCATTCTTATTCCTGATTTCCCTGAGGCATTGAAACAGTTTTTCTTCCTAATGTCTTATTGTACCAGCTAATACTGTAATAATAATTTTCGGTTCTATAGCACCTTCACACTGAAATAGTCAAAAATAGCCAACATGAATTTATATCATGTCACACATTTTTCTCCAGTAACATTAGATTTTTTTTTTGGCAGCTTGATGTATTTACAATAGCCACAGTCAATCTCCCTGTAGCAGTTCTGTATACTTCAATAGTTCTGTCTTTCAGCAAGAATTATGAAAGAGGATAAAAGCTATCCAGTAGTGCATCCCAGAGGAATTAGTGTTCAAAGGCCTCAGTTTCTGGGAGCCGTGTCATATTGATAAACTGGTTCTAACGGCAGTGTCTCCTGCAGCGCTCGCTGGGAAATGCAGTTACACAGCAATCCTGGTTTGGGATATTTGTGACTTGGGTAGATTTGGGGGTTCAGGCTGTGGTGAATAAGATGTTTAAAATTTGTACCTGCTGAAAAAGGAGCAAGAGAAGTAGCTGAAAGGAGTATTTAGTTAAACCTTTTTGATGTAAATGAGATATTTTTTGCCTCCCACACAGTTTGTATATTGTTTCAGATGAGTGCAAGCATATGTTCGAGCCTGAAAACATGGCAGTTTCACAGCTGGGCTTACGAATCTCATGTGTGCGAGACTATAATGAACCTACACTTACCGTTATCCCATTATTTTTATTATTTTTAAGTTATCTATTGGAGAAATTTGTTGTTCAAGTATACTTAGAACTCCAAAGCCAGATCATGCCTTATGCCATTCTTTAATTTTTCATGCGGACCAAGCAGTTAGTAGTGTTACAAGTTCTATTTTAAAAATTTATTTATTTTTATTTTTTATTTTACTGTGTCCGTACCAGTGTCCCGTGTTTCCTCCCTTTGCTTCAGCGGGTGTGTGAGCACGCGGTGTGGGCAGCAGCCTCAGCCCTTCCCCGAGCAGCGCTGGGGGAGTCCCCGCGGGCAGTGCGGGGGGCAGGCAGCTCAGCCTCTCCCTCCTGATGTTGGAGTCTGTGCCCCAGGAGCCGTGGATGGAAATGTAGTTCAAACCACAGCATGACCATTTATTCCTTTGCTTATTCTTGATAACTGTAAGGTCTTTGTTGCTTTTTAAAGTGGAGAAAAAAAAAAAAGGAAAAGCAGACAACTGTGCTGGTGGAAGCAATGGAGCGATGGCTGCGTAATGAAACCTGTCCTGCAAGCTTAGGGCAGTGCAGAGCTCACAGATGAGACAAACGAGCTCACAGCATATCTCAGTGCTGCGTTAGAAACCCTTTAACAATTTTGGCTATGTCTGCAGAGCTCTGAAAAACACAAACGGGTGTCTGGTACACATCTACAGACTTGCCTGGTATTTTTTTTTCCTCTACACCGTCAGTCTCCCTGTGGCAACAGCTGCGTGTATGCATTTCATTTCTTCTGAGCTGTTAGGTAGGATTTCTTTTGTGGCTTGGCTAGAGAGTAATTTTGAGACACATTTTACCCAAATGTAATAAACAGCAATGCAAAGGTATTATATCAAGGTATAAAAGAAATGTCGCGTGAGTGACACTGCCTGATAAACGTTCTCCGGGCTCCCATTGTGGCTGGTTTACTTCTTATCTTTGGAGCCTGATTTACATCCTTCCTAACGGTCTGATCAAACAGGTGCTTTTCTTGCCCCTGGTACACCTGGTTGGGAAAAGTAAGGACGTTGCTTCCAAAGCCAAAGCATTATTCCTGCTTTATCTCCTCCATCCTGACAGCAGCGCGCTTCTCCAGCCCTGTGATGGAGCAAGGGGGTAAGAAAGCAGTGGGAGGCAGCAACCCGTGTGGGGCAGAGGAAAGGGAGAAGAGTGAGCTACCTGGAGAGCAGGAGAAAATGCTGCAATGTTAAAATCTTAAACTTTGTGAATGAATACCAGAAAACTCATATATTCACACAATCAATGTTAAATATCTCTGTGTCGCAGAGTGAGAGGGAAAAGTTGTGATTAATAGAGCTGTCCTTGGATGCGAAAGGCAGATCTTTTTACCCATTGTTTGTTATTGACATGAGCCTATTCTGTAGTGTTCTTTTTTAATGCATGACAGAACAACCGTGATGTTTTTATATTTCTCTTACTTTATTCCAACCATGAACAAAACAAAAAAGATAAAATTCCCCTTCCCTGCTCTTGTTTGTAGAAGCCATGGTGTGTTTTGGTGGAAATTGCAGCATTTATGCTTCTTTTATTTTCTTGCCTGTTCAGAAAAGCAATACGCACCCAGATAATGGCCAATAAAACTTTCCTCCTGAACAATTTAAAAGTCTGAGCAGATACGCCAGTAAACCCCAGCTGCCAGGACAGCCTGCTCTGGGCCTGTTGGTGTGGGCTCTGGCTCCCTTTGGAAGGGGAATCGCTCTGCTCGGGTGAGGAAAGGCTGCAGGAACCCACTGCCGGGGGGTGCTGGAGGCCAGCAGGCAGCTGGTGTGTGTGTGGTGATCAGAGCTTGAAACGCGACCCAATTGTCCCATCCTTCTCCAAGTTATGGTGATCCCTGCTAGTGTTAAGCAGTACAAATGGCAATGTTAGGAGCGATTTTAAGGCTGCATAATGAAGGAGCATGACTAGCAATACGTTTTTGTTGTATTGTTACATTTTATCCATTGCCTCTTAAACGTTGCAACATTTCTGTCATTTTCACTTCTTGATTTCTTTTTTAGATTCCTTTTCCATTACTTGAATATGTAAGAGGTGGAAAGCAAAGAAAGGCTGTAACGTAGTCTGGTAAATGGAGCTGAGCTCAAATAACAATATTTAACTGAAACATTTTGTCATGGTTACAGCCAGAATGCAAGGTATGAGGTGCTCCTTTCAGAGGCAGCAGAACATTTTCTGTTAGTCCGTTAAAACGTCCCCTGCTTTTGTGCTGGGAATGGAAATGGGCCGTGCGCTGCAATGTGCATTGCCTTCGGATTAAAACAAGCCACTTACACCGTCCTGCGTATCGCTTAACCTCTTGCTTAACCTGAGCGTTCATGGAGGTGTGGAGCACATTTCAGACATAACGCCTGCTCGCTGTCCCACCCAGCTGCGGTTCCAGTTTGGCTCGTGGCATTTATCTGGATACAAACATCGGCTCTTCAACAGGTCCGTAGTGTGGGAAGCTCCTAGGACTGCCGTTCCATGTTTCCCTAGCTATGCTGTCACCCAGCTGCTGTGTCCTGTGCCCTGTTTGCTGTGCTGTGTGCTGTCGGCAGCAGCAAACCGGCCCCGCTGGAGCAGGCACCTGGAGGCTGCAGCGCTCCGGCGGTGTGGGTGCTTCGGGCTGCTGCAGGGATCCTGCAGGGTAAAAGCACGGAGATGCTTGCAGCACGTTGGCTTCTCACAGCAGAGGAGTACCTCCACCTTTGAAAAGTGGAACTACTCTGTGGCTTGTCAATCAGAGAAGCTTTTAAGCTGTAGCTGTGGAGGTGCAGGGTTTAATGGGTAGGCAATGTTTGCTCTGCATTTGGAGTGCATCGTTGCACTCTAAGTAGTGTAAATTTAGCTCCTTTAAGCCTGATCTCCTGGGGCTGAGATTTAAGTGTTTGAACTTCAGTTGAAAGGAATATATTGATTAGGCTTTGATTTAGTCATTCCTTGCTGAAAAGATACTGGGTAATGAGTTGTACCTGCCCTTTCGTATTTTTATTCATTTAATGGATTCCCCTCTCATTCCCCTTTTCTTCCTCAACACTTTTCTGCCTAAAAGTCTGCAGTGCTACAAGGAGAAATAAAAGAAAAAGCAGTTGTCACACTGTGAACATAATTGATTCAATAAATAACATTTTTAAATTCCCTAGGCAAACCTCAGTCCTCACTTATGTCAATTAGTGCTTTATTCTGCAAACAGTGGCACGTCTGGTTTAGACTGATAGACTGAGGCAGTCAGCTCATGGCCTTCTATGAAGGGTAGCCATGGAAGAGGAGCTGCTTTTGTAGACAGATCTTGTCCATCTGTCATGGAGATGTGGAAAGAAGTTCTTCTGACCTATTTGTTAAAGTTGTCTTTCTTTTGTTGTTTTCTGTCATGATGGCTCCAACCGAGAACCCTCTTTTTCATTTATCTTGGTGAACAAAGAACATCCTAGGGTAAGCCTCAGTCCCACTCAGGTTATAAGTAAGCTCCAGGCTTGCTTGCTGCGCCTGCAAGATCTGACCAAATATTAGAAGCAGGGCTGGCAAATGGTCGTAACTGTCCTACAAGGCATTTGGGAGGAAGGGATGTTCTGGATTTTCTTCACTACAGTGACTGGTTTTGCTTTTCCACCAGATGTGAAGCTGCTTCTTTCTCACTTTGTACTGAACCTTGAACTTGAGCTCATTTCAAAATAGGGAAGAACTTTGCTGTGGAGCAGTTTTTAGCCCTGATATGGGAAGAGCACTTGGTACCATCAAAGCCTCCCCCAGATTTTTCGATGGCTGCTCTGTTGCCAGCAGTGCAGTGTGCCCGAACAGTTGTTGCTGGTTGGTAAGCACCTCGGGCTGACCTGCATTGCACCCCCACTCCTACAAACAAACAAACAAAAATCCTAGAATCAACCTACATTTTGCTTTAATAACAGCTTAATGCTTGACAGTTCCTCTTCCCTTCGCAAATCAGTCCTTTAGAAGAAAGATTCACTCCTGTGGTCCTCTGATGGTATTTTTGGCTGTGTTCAGTATTTCTTTCCTGCATTAGTAGAAATATTCATATGTAGAGCTTTGATTTGCACAGACCCAATCGCCTGTGAAGAATACAAGTGACAGTATTTCCATTTTAGAGGAATTTCTCATTCCCGTTCCTAACTGAGTGCCCTGGCTTCATGCTGCCTTGCCTTGGAAAAATGTGGAAGCTGCAAAGAGTCTTTTGTCTTCTCCAGGTTCCTGTCAGAGAAGTCAGCGTTGTAAGTGCTGTTTGTGCCATCCAGGCAGCAGAGAGAACTACACTGAGCTAGTACAGGATCATAAAACACAGTTCTTTGTAGGGTTTTACTGGTGTATTGTGGGGCTGTTCTTTTGAATGTGTGAAATAGTTATATTGTGTGTAAAGTTGGCATGTATTTGTGCTTTTTTTCAGGGTATTAAAATAATGGAGACTCTTCTTCAGGAGCAGTGTGGTTGATTGCACTCTTTATGAGCTATTGTAAGTGCAGCATCCATCTACAGATGAGGAAATTGTTCAAAGCTTGTGATAGCTATTGCACATTGTGGTCTTTGTAATTCTACAAATAAACTTTTTTTTTTTTTTGGTCCATTATAAATAGCAGGCAATTTTTATAGACTTTTCAAGAAAAATAGTGATCTACTATTGCGTTAGGCTTAACATAATTCAGAAACTTTAGAACAGTATTTAGTAAGATGACTCTTGTGTTCGGTCTTTTGCCCTCTCCTCTCTGTGAATATATGAGTGTGGAAGTCTTGGTAAAATAAGATGTTGTTTCTTTCTAAAGATTTCCTCCTGAAGAGTAGTATCTTCAAGGTTTATCCGTGGCGGGAATGTTTGGTCAACTCTTTAAGTAGCTTCAGGACAAGAGCAAATGGCTATTGATTACCTCCTAATAAATGTTCTAAAACCTATTTCTCTGCTTTTGCAGGAGAAAATGCATCTGTGTAGTTTCCTTGGAGCAGCCTATCTTCATTGCCGTCGGAACTCTGTGGCTGTTACCTGAACTTCGCTGGTGCCGTTTTATCGAGGAAAGAGAATTTAATGTGCATAGGAGAAAGGGACTGTAGACTGCAAACCTTTTACAGAAGACTAAGGAATCATGCTATGTAAGGGAATGTTGATCTTGAAAATCACGGAGAAACAAATGCAGGCTTGGAAGCAGAAGCATCTTGTGAATTTGTTCTACAATCTCTAGAGATTAAGCCTTCGATAAGGGAACACAGAACAACAAAATAAAATAGCCCTCCGTGCTATGAAGAGACCCATGTCTCGTTAACCAGTTGCTTTGCATCTTATCAAGGGAGGTGCAAGCACGCCCCGTGTGCTGTTTATTTCACAGCTTAATTCTGTGGGATAGAGGCTTCATTGTACAAAAATGAAGCTCAGCTTCAACAGCGGAGTAGGGTTGCTATTCCCTGCTTGAGTCAACATTGCTCATTATTTCAGCCCTGATTGCTGTGTTGGAAATGTTTGGTTATTATGCTCCTGCCAGTGTGATTATTTTCAGTTGTAAGACCTGCCTCAATACAAGTTTTAAATTACATCTGTCTGAATTCTTTCAGCAAGTATTTTTCTCCTGTTGCACCTGAACAGGGGAAGAAAGCCATAGGAAAACTGGTGAAGTGCAAGCAAAGTTCCCAACAGTGTCTCATTTGCTTTTCTTCCTTTTGTTATGTGCACTGCAACAGGATAGTTTTATTTCTAAACTTCCATTGAAAATTCAGGTGAGCACAGAGCTTCGATACCTTTACTGAAGTTGGTTGACACCACACTTGAATTCAGATGCCTTGAATCCAGCATTTGTGGAGATTTGAGCCCATCAGCTGACTGCCATAAAGCAGAAGGGCCAGCTGCAGTTCTTGGGGGCAGGTTGGGTGTTTCCCAGATGCGATGTGAACCCTGGGTGGGCTCTTCCCTTTGCTGCGCCCAGGTGCGGTGCTGCCAGGCGTGGTGTCACCAGGCTGGGGGGCTGCGGCTGCAGGGCGAGCTCTGGCCCCTGCCTTGGGACGAACGAGACGAGACCTGGGCCTCTGTGCTGGATGGGTTTTGTACTGGCACAGCAGAACAAGATACTTCCCTTCTTCCTTCTTATTTTCGTTGGTAACTGGCTGTTGTGAGTTTAGACTCTGGATGCCAAAAGGTACATATTTATGAAACACGAAGGCCAAGACTAAATACATTCATTAACGTAGTTCTGCTTCTTGAGTTACTGCTTTGTGTGCCTGAGGAAACTATCAGATTACTTCCTTTTTAGTTACAAAGTACAGTTTTAGGAGTAACATTTTTATTCTTGTAGTGCTCTGGATTTTGGGATTAGAATAGTAAGTATATGCATTGTCCCTCCACCCTGAAAGTAGGAGTAGTATGTGAATAGTAAAACCCCAGTGAAATCCAGTCCCTTCCTCAAAGGCTGCAGTCATGATTGTTTAAATAGTGCTGTGAGTTATTCCTGGGGCCCAGATGATGCTGGGGCCTTGAGCAGCTCTGGCCCTCAGAAATCAGTCCCAGCACTTCTACAGACCTCCTTTTCTAAATAACAGGATGGCAGCAGGAAAAGATTTTTTTTTTTTTCAGATTGTTTTATCAGAGTAGTTAATACACACTTGCTTAATTCTAGGAATTTAATTAATTCTTGCTTAATGTGTGGACTAAAAACACACACAGGTAACTTTGGTCAAAGCCTTGAAGTAACAAATTTAAAAATGGAGAAAATTAGTATTTTATTCTCTTAATTATTGTACTAAAGCGACTCTGTGAACATTTCCATTAAAAAGTCATCTCCTTTGATCACCAGCTCTTGTCTCTGGCGGATGATTGCCGGGTGTCAGCTGGAGTTCATCTCTCGGTTTGTGGTGTGTTTGTGAAGCCAGCTGCCGCGGCTGCCCCGCGTCTCGCTCGGGCTCTGTGCCGTCGTGCTGGGTTTCATTTCGCCTCAGTGCCTGAACCCCACGTGGCGCTCTTAGGAAAACCTTGGGGTGCTTTAACTTCACGGATGTAGCAGAGCATTTTCATAATGTGCTGCATTTATGAACGATTTCCTCTTCAGACATCTCCTGCTGTGCTCAGCCTCTTGGGTGAAGTCTACGAAGCCCCCAGCCCTCGCTGCGTCAGGCTGGGCTGGGTGGGGACGTGGTGGGGATGTGTGAGCCCAGAGGGGACACGGGAACCTGCAGCTGGCTTGGGAAGGCAGCAGGATGGGTAAGGATGTAACAGAAGTGCTGATGCTGCTGGCACGACACCACCCCTGCGGTCACCTAAAAGCCCCTCGGCACCAGGTGCTGGATGAGCTCTTGGGGCTCGGCTTCACGCGGCCGAAGCTGCCCCTGCGTCACTCCTTCCCTTCTCCCAGCTGCCTGCTTCCCCCCTCCAGTGGGCCAGATGATTCGTATTTTCTAGTCTATTTACTGTAAACGTGTGCAGGTGCCTTAAATATCACACCCCGGCTGCTGGCTGAGGTTTGGGAGAATCACCATAAATGCTGCAAAAAAGCCTGCAAGTTTTCAAACCCTTCCGTGCTGTGACATATGCACAGCTCTGTGTATCCAGAAAGATGACACATTTTATTACATGAGGAAATCGAACAGTTGGCAGAGGAAAATAATTTCACTAGGAACAGGTTTCTGCTCCAGACATTTAATTGCAACAGCAACAGTGTCAGGATCCGATGGGCTGCTCTGGTGTGGGTTAAAAACAACCCCTTTGTGTGTTCAGGTGGGAGCTCCAGGGGGGCTGAGGGGGCACCCACAGAAGGTGCGAGAGGGGAACATGGTGTGAGGGGAGCGCGAGGGAGGAGGCTGGGCCGGGAGGTGCACGACAGAGGCAGTGCCGGGGCCTGGAGGGCTGTGATGGTGGCCCAGTGGGGGCCCAGCGGGGGCCGGGTGCTGCAGCTGCTGCTCCTGGTGGGCCCCTGTGAGGCCGGAGGGCAGCAGCCGAGCTTTGTCCTTCCCGAAGCAGCCGCTCGCCTCGTGCTGGGGAGCTGGTGGCTCTGAGGGACGCGGATTGATCAGCCCCCGTGCTTTGAAAGGGCTCGTTCCCAGTTTCCAGGTACGTTTTTTTTTTTTTATTTTTATTTTTTCCTGTTTGTTTCTTGTTTTGTGAATTCTGTTTCATGTTTGTCAGCCTAATGACACAAACACTTCTGTAGGAGTGACAAGATTTAGAGCACTTATCTATTTTAATATTAATTAGCTGCCTTACTGGGAGCACTAACGGGGCCCTGGGGAAAGCCAAGCTTGTAGCTCCCTTTGCTGTGGGAAGAGCTTTGCCCTCCGGGAAGGAGCTGAGCAGAAAACCTTCCCTCAGCAAGCCCCGGTGTGTGTCTGTCACCAAGTGAAGGACGTCGGGTGCTGGTCCCCCAGGGCACAGAGGGAGCAGGCAGAGCCCAGGCCAGCAGTTTGCATTTATTTCCCCTTTATTGTACCTTTATTTCCCCTATATTTTATATTATTAAAAGTCCCTACTGTTAAGGACAGGAGATGGACGAGCCCCCGATGCAGTGGAGAGCCTGGTAAATGCTCGCCGTGCCGCCGATGGAGCCTGCCTGCCCGTGGGGACGTTCCAGGGCAAAGCTGGGAGCCACGATCCTGTGCTGCTCCCATGCAGCCAGGCAGCTGCCTGAAGCCATGGGGACATTTAGGACACATCCAGCAATTAAAGCTGCATTAGGGGAGCCTGCTTAGGAGGAGAGGAAAAGTTGGGCAAGGAACTGGAGTGGATCTGGGGAAGGGGTGCGCAGGGGGTTCATGGTGGAAGGGGCAGGGATGGGGACAAGACCCCATCCAGCTGGGGAAGCGCGGGGTTCCTAGGACTGCCCGGGCATCTTCCTCCCCGGTGCTGTGGTCGATGCCCTGTGCAGAGCACAATCACGGCAGGGCATGGGGCTCCCGGTGCCTCAGCGAGGAGTCCTTCGGTGCCCGCTGCCCCACGCCTGTGCCAATGTCCTGCTTCCCACTGGTTTGATTCTTAAAACTTTTATGTCCATTGGAAATTTCGCTGTATCTTGCTTCATGGTTATCTATGCAGACAAAATCTTTTTGTTGAATTTGACTGGAACTTTTTTTTTTTTTTAATTTAATTTTTATTTTTTCTTCCAGCCAATAAGCTGCTCTCCTTCACTGCAGACCAGAAAACCTGGTTTGGCTGGGAGCCTAAAACAGCAGACATGGGCAAGCAACGAGCAGACAAGAGACCAATTAAACGCAGAACACTCTAAATCCATCTAATGCCATTATGCTTTGTTTTGCATTAGCTGAAGAAACAAAGTGCCCAGATAAAAATGGACTCTGCAGACTGGCACTGATCTTTTGTGCTCCTTAGAAATCAAGTTTTTAAAGCGCTGAATGTGTGGTGAACAGTATTTTCCTTAAAAAAAAAATCAACAAAAGTTCCATTATACTTTAGAAGGAAATAAAGAACATGCATGATTCAGTCCTTTCAAAGGGAAAATAATTTCATTTGCTCCCACAATCAATTAGGAACGCCTTGTGAAAAGGGACATTGCTATTGAGAGGCAGGATGTGTTTCAGAGCATGGCATTGAAAAAACTGTCACATTTGCTGCTGCCTTGTAAACAGAAAGTGTTTTAAATGTTTCTGACATTTGGAGGGACATCACTGTAATCTTAGGTCACTAACACTGTCTTTGTGGGGAAGAGACAGTAAATTTCCACTGATTTTTTTTTTTAACTGCCAGACGCCAGGCACATGAGATATAAATTGTTCCAAATGTCAAGAATGGTTCTGCTTTGTGCAGAAATTGAATGATTTGGCCTTTAAAAGCACAGTTCACCCTCCCATGCACGTGGAGGGTCCGCCGCCCACCCGGGCTCTGCAGAGCCGGGACCTTTCCTGGTGCCCAAGCTGCGCACAGGGTGGCCGGCACGGAAACCTGGGAATTGCCGTGTGCCTTTGGTGTCGCTGGGGCTAACCACCAGCGGTCTTGAGAAAGTGTTTGTGTGCCTAAAGGCTGTGGAGGGGCTCCCAGGACCTTGGCTGGGGTCCTGCCACGGGGGTCCTGCTCTGGGTCCAGCCGCTGGGAGCGGTGGGGGCTCCCCGGGGCTGTGCTGGGGGCGTTGAAGGGCCTGGGGCACCTCCGCTTCAGGTTCCCATCCCGGCAGGCACTTTTCAGCTTCTGTGTTGGCCCTTCCCTACCGCTTCTGTCCCATTCTCCCTCACAGATTTCTGGTTTAGTAACAGCTGGGGATGTCCAACCCAGGTGCCGAGCACAAACTTTCCATTTCAGAGGCGTGTTCTCACATTTCTCTGTAGAGCTCCTTCAGACCCATTTTTCACTTCCTTTTGCTTTGATTCTCATTTGCTTTAAACACCAGAGAGTCTTCTGCCAGAGAAGCAGACTGGACTCTCTTTGGCAATCCTGGTCTCTTGCAAAGCGATGTGGAGAAGCTGTTTAAGTGCCAGGATTTTATATGCTTTTTCCATTCACACCGCTCAGAAAGACCTTGCAATGCGATTGCCCTGCCTTGATTGATTCATTCTTATTATCAGCCCTGAATTATTTGCAGAGGTAAATGACAAGTCTTTATTTTCTCATAGTGCTTTATCTTTTTACAAAATGCATCCAACAAAGTTGCTAATGGAAAAGCTTTTAACCTTCCTCGGCAGCGGGTGATCTTTGCCCATTTGTGTTAGCGTGTGACACGTGGAGCTGACTAAAGCTCCGTGCTGCAGAAAAACGCCGCTCCCCGCTCTGCAGCCAGCCCTGAGGGTATTGGCAAATTTAATAGGCAGCCCAAGGTGACTGGCACAGCAGTGGGGATAAATTGTTTGCTTCAAAAATTAAAGAGAATAGAAAGGACAAGTGTATTCCCCTGCTTCAGAGGCAAGGATGCTTAACTTGTGTTTCCCGACTGCACCGGTGGCTTTCCAGGAGCTGGGAGGCAGCAGAGGTGGTGCCAGAGCAGCGTGAGTGTGAGGCAGTGACAGATGTCAGACCCGTGATACGGGTATTTGTGTACGTACAGAAATGAAAACAGAGAAAAGCCAAGGGCTTTGTTTTCAAGGTCTGAGGAATGCATCTCACCTGTCCCAGCTTTGAGACCTGCAGTTGCAGGGCTGAGCAGGGCTCCAGGCTCTGTCCTCCCCAGGACGCGGGCTGGGTGCCCAGACCAAAGGCCGTGTGGTTGGGTGAGGGGCAGCGCAGCCCGCTCCCCCCGCTGCTCCCACACTCACCCCTCACTATTGCAGACATTTTCTCTCTGTGCCCAGCCCCTGGCTGCTGTCAGGGCTCTGCCCAGGAGGCTGACGGGCCCCTCGGGTCTCTGCAGGTACCGCCTGGTGCCGGGGCAGCTGCCAGCAGCGGTGCAGGGCCGGTGCTGGTCTCTCCCTGGACTCAGCCATTTGTATGAGCGCATCATTTTCCTGGCCATTCCACGCAGTTGCTGCATTTAAACCAGATGAACTCTATGTAGAAATTCTAATAATCCCTAGCTATGGCATTTCTCTCTGTCCTTCACTCGCAGGGTGACAATTTGTCCTGTAATGATGGAACAGATGGGGGGGAAATATTAGGAAAATTAGATCAAATCGTGGTATAATGCCATGAGATGACTCAGTTCTATTATGGTGTAGTCTTACAAAAACAGGATGTTGAACAAAATGTACTTTTATAGAAAAGGATTTTTAATGTTGTTATTTCTTCCTAAAAGCTGAACCAACGCTCTGCTGATCTATATCCGTGTATGATGTTGCATTTCTTTGTTTGGGCTCATGGTATCCTCAGCGACTTGGTGGGAGGATCCTGACAAAGGGATGACAGTGGAATGGCCCCACCAGTACCAGCATCTGTGTGCTGGACATTTTCTGGGATGAAGGTCAGTGAGGACAGCCCAGAGCGCCGTACCCAGCTTCTCCCCCTGCTTCCCCAGGCCCCGTGCAGGAGCTGCTCACAGCCATGCTGCTGCCTGGTGCCGCGGGCTCCAGCCTGGCCCCTTATGAGCGGCAGCCACCTGGGGTGCCTTGTAAATTTGGGCAGTTTTGGGTACGAGGTTAACTAAGGCAGCAGCATGGCCACGAGCAGCCGGACACCCCCATGTCGGTGTTGTGGCTGGCAGGTTTCATGGCACGGCACCCAGCCTACGGTTTGTGCCACGGCCAAAGCCAAGCAGGCTGTCAGCTCCCTGCTGTCCTCGGCCATCGCAGGGAAAAAGCCTTCCCAGGGGGGCACGGAGCTGTGCTGGGTCATCTGCCCGCTGCTGGAGCCCCGCGCCTGCTGCGAGCCCGAGCCCCGGCCCAGGCAGGCCCTGGCCGAGCGGGGCTGTGACGTGGCCGTGGTGCCTCCTGTGAAACGCTTCCCTCCCCGCCTGGAGCGGGCAGAGAGCCCGCAATGAGCCCTTGTCAGGTGTGCTGCTGTGCTAATAACGCTGCTCGCGTTGCTGCGCTTTGTTGCTTTGTGTTTTTGAAGCCTACAGCACTTTGTTCGTGGCTAATATGAAAAGCAGGCAGCTTCCGCAGCACTCGGGGAGAGAGACGCAACTCTTCGGAAGAAGATAAAGAGCTTCTGCAAATATTTATGCACAGAAAATCGATCAAACTGTAATGTGTCTCGTTTAAAAAACAATTGTGTGTATTTGTGTGGTTGTAGCTCCTGCAGCTGGCGTGAGAAGGAAAAGCTGTTTGTCTATCGCAGGTGGATGGGTGGAGAAATTGCCCACCAAAACACTCACCCAGAGGCAGCGCCAGGGACAAGAAGGGACAGTTCCTGTGCCACGGGGCAGTGATGCCACCTGGTCCTCAGCCCACCAGGAAAGCACTCGGTGCTGCAGGAGCACAGGCTTCTGCTGGTGCCTGTGATGGAGACACCTGGGGGCGTTGGCAGGATTTTATTTAATGCTCTCAATCGGCTGCTGGGGCTGTTGAGAAACAGGTGCCTGCATCTCCTCTGGGGCCTGAGCCTGTCCTGGCCGCCGGGTGCTGCTGCAGGGGCTTGGAGTTTGCCTCGTCCTGCTGGCTGCTGCTGCTGCTCCCTGCCTGCCCCTGAGCACCTCAGGTAGGGGCCTCTGGCTCTGGGGTTTCTGTGCTGGACGGGACGGCTGTGTCCTGCGGTTTTACCTGAGCAGTGTGACTGCTGTCTGAAATCAAGCTGGCTTAACTCTAGATTCTGTGTGAGGTTTATAAGCAAGCTTCGCTTTCCTTCTCTGTGTTCAGCTTTTCCCTTTGTAACACCTCAGAAAAAAAGACTTTAAACACTAAAAACTGGTCAGATAAGCTGTCATGTAATAGCTGTGTTGCTCCTGAGTTGGTGTGCTACAATAAAACAAAGGACTAGAATAAATCTCATTAACAAGTAAGCATAATGTATGTTGTTCTGAAAGCCCCATAAAATCTCTGCTACCTGTCAGCAACGAGGCTGTAACTGCTTTTCTCCACAGGTACCGCGGAGACCCACAAGTTGCCCTTTACTGTGAGGAAATGTAAAGCAAAGGCAGTAATTAATAATAACCCAGCGTGATGGGAAGTGTTCTGCTAGGCAGGAAATTGTGTTTAAATACAGATGAGCTCTTTCTGTTGTAGCAGCTGAGCCTGAGCCTGCAGGAGAGTGCTGCAACTGTATTCAGAAGCACAACAGCAAATTGCTGACAACTTTATATATATACAGATATACACACACACATATATGTATATATATACACGCACACACACATATGTATATATATAATCATGGGTTTTATTTAGTTATCCAAATTTTTCTTTAGTCTTTGACCTGATCAAGTATGTCTGTTGTTATTGCAAACAACCTGGCCACCAGCTTCTCTCCCTGTATAAGGAGAGGAAAGCGGGCTCGTGCCCGGGCTGGAGGAGCACCTTGGGGGTGCTGGGTGGGGGGCTCGGGCTGTTGCCAGTGGGTGTCTGTGCCAGGTCCTGCTCCCAGGGGGCTTCACAAGTGTTTGGTGGCTGGGGTTTGCTCACTGCATTGCCATCGTCTTTCTGAGCAGATGTGCCCCAGTAGGAAGGAAAAAGCCACCGACACCAAACCAGCAGATGGCCGGCTGCTGCCAGCTCAGCCCTTTGGCTCTGCGCAGCGCCCTGCCCTGCCTGCAGCCTGGTCCTTTGTATCACCCTTTCTGTGCCCCCGGGGTTTGGCAGTGCTGCGGGCGCTGCCTGCCACAAATCTGCCCCAAAGCTGTCCCCTGGCTCCTGGTGGTGCCGGAGCGGCCGTGGGGTGATGGGGTGGAGAGGGCAGAGCCGGGCGCTCCCCGTCCCGCTGCTCAGGGTGGCTTGGTCTGTGGGGACGCTTGCTCTGGGGCAGGAGCGAGCATCTCACCTCTCGTCTTCTTCCTGTCGGGTGAATAAATCACTCCGTGGCAATTACTTCTGCCAGGAGCCTAACATCTCTTTAGAGAGAGGGAAGTAAAAATAGAAAGAGGAGGGAAATTAACGTTTGGGGAACGCGATGCAACATCTAGATTCTCAGTACTTTTCTTTGCTTCTAAATCCAAGGAAAGATAAAAAATGTAACTGTGCTTAAATATGAATTAAAGGCTGGTACTGAAACCGCAGGCTTTGGACACGAGGGAGATCTCTCAGAAGCTGTGCTGCCAGTTCCCCTGCTGGTGCCGCTTCCTGCCTGCAGCATCCCTCCCCGGCTGCCTGCAGCCTCCCTGCAGCGAGGGAGCCGTCATCTGCCTCTGTGCCAGAGGGGGACTGAAGCAGGGTGCCGGGCTGCAGGGCTGGCAAAGGAGCCCAGGTGTAGGACGGGATGGTGCAACACGGGCATCCCTGCAGTTGTTTGTGTGATCAGCTTAACCTCTGATCCCCAAAGCTGCTTCCTACAGAGGCTGATGTGTTTTGTATTGCAGTACATGTTTAGATTTATGTCAGTAAGCACAATAACTTATAATATATGTTATATATAATATAACTTAATAACCCTTCATTATATGTCTTGGGAAAATGCTTTTACTCCGACATCTGGGTTCAGGGCCAGCTGGGCTGTTCTGCTGCTCCCCTGCAGCGGGCTCCTGCTTGGTGCGAGCTCCTCGTGGCCGCTGTTTTCCTCGTGCTTGTAAGATCAACGCAGAAGCTTCCAGGGTGTTTATGCTCGAGTTAGGGTTGATGCAGAGCTCTCAGAGATAAATGCTCCCCTTGGTCTGCCTGACAGAGCTCGCATAACATCAAGTCATGCAGCCTGACTTTTAACATGAGAAACCAATGTTTTTTTCCTCAATCAATCTTGCCAGGTGTGTTATTTTTAAAATACATGAGCACATAAGAGCCAATGGTTATATCTAAAAATCCACATGCATCCAGTCTCAGTGACTTTCTGCAGCCATCAGGTCTCTTTTTTTTAATGTGATAAATAAGATATCTCGTTGCTGTTCAGTCCCTGCAGTGCTCAGAGCCCCGCGGTCCCCCAGCAGGAGCTCCTGAGGAGGCTGGGGCTGACAGCGCAGCATTTCTGCAGTCGGACAGAGCTGGGGAAGGAGTGGGGGTGAGGGGTCTGGCAGGGCGTGCTCCTGGCCCGTCCCGCAGGAGCAGTGGGCTGGCCGCGTCTGCAGCTTTACTGGGCTCAGCCCCCTGGGTCTGGGACTGTGACATCTCGGCTGTGTTTGGCTGCTCCAGGAGCAGGCTTCCTGAGCACAGCACCAGCCCAAAGCCACCTTTCGTATTTTGAGATGTCCCCGAGCCTGTTTTTCACTCACAGTACAAGTCAGTCCTTCCCCTCTGGTGTTCACCTTTATATGGTGCAAATATCTGGGAAATTCCACGCTGTATGCTGACCTACTTTAAGCAGTTTTTTTAAAGTACCGGGAAAAGAGCCAGAAAGCGAAGTCTTAATTTTTTTTTTTTTTTTTTTTTTTTTTTTTTTTTTTTTTTGAGGTTGCTCATTAGCTTCTGCTGTTCCCTACAAGATGCAAAGCAGGCGTTAGGGTCGCAGCTGCTGCCTTGCTCCCCAGGTGAGCCCAGAGCGTGGTGCAGCTCCTGGGGGGGCTGTTGTATGCCCGGGGCTTTGAAATTGGCTCGTCCTTCCTCAGCTGGGGCAGCCTGTACCTACTGAGCTGCAGGACGCAGGAATAGACGGTCAGTTTTTCTGAGAGGAGCTGGAATTACAAGGATGCAGTTTTTATACCTAGTGAATCCCAGGGCTAGCTGAGAAACATTCCTGAGCATATGTGGAATCCATTTAGTTTTGTTTAAGATCAGCCCTGTGTGTTGCTGGGAGGGGGGTACATTTGTGTACCAGATCCCTGTACCTACAAGTCCATCACTTTATTAATAGGTCTGGTACAGAGTTTGAAGTGGGGAAAAAAAGCATGTTCCTGGTTTCTCAAAAGCAAAACTTTTTGGGAAAAAGCTTAAACCTTTTCTATCTGCAGTGGCCTCCTCTATGAAGGTCATGGGAGAGCCTGGATGGGAAGGACCCGCTGGGGGGCTCAGGTCCCCAGGTCTTGGCAAATCCCTCAGTGAAGAGGAAGAGGTGTTTGGATAATGCCCTTAACATGCCATAGCTGTTGGATAAACCTGGGAGTGGTTTATTGTGGAACTTATGTGTTTTCAGTCTCACATTTGCTTTGCTATGGAGAAATCACGTTCCAGCTCCTGCTGGAGGAGTTGCAATCTTCCCATCCTTTATGGTGGGCAAAGGACAGAGGTGCTCCAGCTTCTAACAGCGGGGAAGTGTTGACTCAAATCCTTTTCTCCCCACTTAAAGTTCTAGAGGGGACCGCACTTCCCCGTCCTCCCCAGACTGCAGCAGCATCAGCTTCACGCAGCCCTACCACGTCTTCCACCTGCTGATTTTAAAGCAGCCTCTGGTAACGAGTCCCAGCTCCTAATTAGTGCCTTACCAAACGAACTGTCTGCGTGGTGGTGTTGGGGTGGTGCCGAGGGCTGTGCCGTGTGGGGACGCCTGGCCCCAGGCAGGCAGCAGGAGCCCGCTCGTGGCTGCTGTCCTCGCTGTTTGCTGAAGCCTCTCTGAGCACGCTTAAGGCACAGGCACGCCGGCTCATAGTCAAAATGATTTTTTCCTGGGTACGCTTTATTTTACTTTAAAAGGAAAGGCAAGAGTTGTGCTGAACTTTGCAACTAACCTGAGTTGTTTTCTGCAGCCATCTTTGAATAGCGCTGGGAACACAAATGAGCACTGGGTAGGAGGTTGCCGCGCTGTAGTTCCAATTAGAGTGCCTTCTGCTCAGGTTCACGGGCTGCAGGTAATTCGTACAAAGTGCTGGCAGTACTCTGGATGCTTGCGCTTGATGGGGAGAGAAAAGGAGGTCGGTGTTCACCTGAAATATGCCTGCTATTAGCTGCACTTCTTGGTGTTTCTGCAAGGCATAATTTAAAAACAATTTTTTTTCTGAATTGCACCATCTGGAGGAGGAAAAAAATCAATAACGTATTTACATGAGGCTCAGTGGCTCTGCCTACCGCTCTCACATCAGTGGGTGCACCTCCTATTGCTCTGCCACTCTCCGGTTATGGATCCGGGCACTGTGCTCTGCCGGGGCATGGGGCTTGCAGTCCCTGTCCCTGGGTGGGGGTGCGTGGGCACTAGGCTCTGCTGCACCGCCTGCCAGGGCTGGCGGTCACTATTTGGGCTTTCTTTTGTCTGGAGGGAAAAAAAAAAAAAGGATTGAGAACTTCTACTTCCAATTATGTTGGTAGAAGGAGCACCTCCTGCCTAAGGAGATGAGACCCAGGCCCGATGACGTTAGCTGCTGGGGGAGAGGGCTAAATCCTGATCTGGTGGCAATGAAGTGCGCTTGTCCGTGGCTTTTTGTCACTCCAGAGATCAGGAGCATGGACAGCACACTTCTCTGATTTTATTGATGAGTTGATCCCCAACTGCTTGTTGTCTGCTGCCTTTGTTAGCTGGAGGAAGCTGCAGGATTTGCTGGATGATTTCAAATGCTCTTTTTTTAGGTGTCACCGAAATAACATGTTTGCTCTGTTGTTTGGATCTCGGTTTTACTGGAACTGTAGATAAACCAAAGGTGAACAAAGAAAGCTTTGCCTTTTGCTATGTCCCAGCGTGGTCTCTAACACGCA